GCCCAACGAAAAGAATCTTGACCGATATTGTGACTTCCATCGCGACAAAGGGCATCACACGGCCGATTGTTACCAACTGAAGTCCGAACTACAAACTTTAGCCGACAAAGGCATGCTCAACGACTTCGTCAGAAGGATGGAAGACAGGACGCATCGAACCTATGTGACGAGGCAGGTGCCGGAACAGAGGAGGGCGGAAGAAGAACCAAGAACCCAAGCCGTGGTGCCGCCCACGGTCAGGGAAGCGCCCAAAGAACCGGGAACTGAGCCGGCGCCTGTTATTCCGCCACCTCCGTTTGAGGTAGATCAAGAGGGAGAGCCTAGCCGAGTAAGGCTTACAGTCGAGTCCATAACGGGTACCCTTGACTTGAGAGAGAAGTTGGAGAGATCTAGGCGCCTGCGAGCTGCGTCGCTGGAAGCCAGGGAAGCCGTGCACATCCACTTTAATCAGGAACCGGATGAGGCGTGCCAAGTTCCATCGGAGGAGGCTCTTGAGATACAAGGAGTGATAGCTGGATGTAAAGTGAAGAGAATGTTGGTAGACACAGGCAGCTCTATGGATGTCCTCTTCAAAAGCACCTTTGACGAATGCAGCTGGCGCCTGAGTTGGTACGTCCCTCAAGTTCGGTGCTCATCGGATTTTCGGGGGCACCTGCTCAAGTCATTGGGCGCGTACGCCTCCCTGTGACTCTGGGGGACGAAACGCATTGTGTAACACATGCGGTGGAGTTTGGCATCGTTGACTGTCCCTCACCATACAATGTGATACTTGGCCGACCTCTTTTGGCACAATTCAATGGGGTAGCCTCGACGTGTCACCAGACGCTGAAGTTCGTCGCTCCTCAAGGTGTAGGCGTCTCGCGAGGAAGGAATGTCCCACGATATGCAAGAGAAGAGGACTCAAAGAATCGGGGTCGGAAGCATAGACTGAATATCGTAGACATCAGTCCGGAGGAGGCGCCCAGGGCAGAACCAGTAGACGATGAGGTGGCTGTGACGTTGGACGAGGAGCGCCCAGACCAGATAATACGAATATCATCGCAGGCGCCAGAGACAATGCGAGCACCCTTAATCGAGTTACTGAGAGAGTTCGGAGAATTATTTGCATGGAGCGCTCGGGATATGCCCGGGGTGTCCCCCGAAGTTGCGGCGCACAGGCTGGCAGTGGAAGAAGGTAAAAGGCCGGTGCAACAAAAGCGACGGAACTTGACCCCCGAGAAAGAAGAGGCGCTCCGACATGAGGTCGACAGGTTGCGAGAAGCGGGGTTTGTGGAGGAGGCAAGGTACATTACGTGGCTCTCCAATGTAGTGTTTGTCCCAAAGCCGTCGGGAGATTGGAGGATGTGCGTGGACTTTACTAACCTCAACCGGGCGTGCCCAACGGATGCTTACCCTATGCCACGCATCGACTTGCTGGTAGATGCGACGGCGTATCACGAAGCGCTCAGCTTCTTGGACATGTTTTCAGGCTATCATCAAATCCCTATGGTAGAGGAGGACCGGGCGAAAACGGCCTTCATGACACCTTTTGGCAACTTTTGCTATCGTGTCATGGCATTCGGTTTAAAAAATGCAGGCGCCACTTACCAGCGTATGGTAAACCAAGTCTTCCGCGAGCAGATAGGGAGAAACGTGGAAGCGTATGTGGATGATTTGATAGTGAAGAGCAAGAGGCGCCAAGATCATATCCTGGACCTCCGGGAAACTTTCGAAACAATGCGCCGATTCAATTTGAGGCTTAACCCCAAAAAGTGTGTGTTCTTTGCGGAGGCGGGAAAGTTCTTGGGTTTCATGATAACAAAAAGGGGGATAGAGGCTAATCCCAGGCAGGTGGAGGCCATCAAGAACTTGGCGCCCCCAAGAACGCCGAAAGAAGTGCAAGTGTTGACAGGAAGGCTGGCGGCGTTGGGACGGTTCATTCCGCGAGCCTCGGACCGGGGCGCCCCCTTCTTCAAGGTATTGAAAAAGGCCACCAAGTTTCGATGGACAGAAGAATGCGACAAGGCGTTCGAAGAGTTGAAGGGGCTACTCATAGCACCTACGGTAATGACCGCGCCTAAAGCCAAGGAAGTGCTATACTTGTACATAGCGGTGTCCCACATCGCTGTGAGCGCTGTACTGATATCCAAAGACTCGCTGACGAATGAAGAGCGACCGGTGTACTACGTCAGCCGCACCATGGTCGGCCATGAGACGCGATATGCACCCATAGAGAAGGCGGCTTTGGCCGTAGTGATGGCCGCGAACAAGCTCAGACCCTATTTTCAGGCTCATAGCATCGTGGTGCTCACTAACCTGCCATTAAGGACGGTTCTTGGATCAATGGATGTGTCTGGGCGCCTGGTGAAGTGGGCCGTGCAATTAAGTGAGTTTGACATAAGTTACGCCCCCCGTCCAGCTGTTAAAGCTCAAGTGTTGGCAGATTTCATGGCCGAAGGTGTGACCGATGGAGGGACGGGCATTGAGGAATGCTGGCAAGTACATGTGGATGGAGCAGCAAGTCGGGCAGGCGCCGGGGCCGGCATAGTACTCATTAGCCCTTTAGGCGCCCTTCATGAAATTGCGCTTCGTTTTGCGACCCTCAAAACGAACAATGCGGCTGAGTACGAGGCTGTTCTGGCCGGACTTCATTATGCTAGAGAGCTGGGCGCCCAAAGGGTTAATGTGAAAACTGACTCAGCGTTGGTGGTCAATCAGCTGAACGAAGTTTACGAAGTGAAAGAGGAGGCTCTATGCGCCTATGTGCAATCCGTGCGAAAGAGATGCGCTTGGTTTCGCGAGGTAACTTTTGCGCATGTCCCGAGAGAGGAGAATGCTCATGCAGACGCTTTGTCTAAGTTAGCTACGGCTTTAGACTTTGAGGAGAGTCGGACGGTGATCGTGGCAAAAGAAGTCCCACACGAAGAGGTGGTGATGGCCTCCATCCTATCGGGAGTGGAAGAAGGATGGATGGCACCAATTCGCCTCTTCCTAACGCAGGGAGTTGTACCGGAGAACCCAAAGGATGCATGGCGCCTTCGTCGGAAGGCGGCTCGATGCACCATCGTGGATGGTGTGTTATACAAAAGATCACATTCCGGCGCCTATTTGAGATGCCTTACCGAGGCAGAGGGGTTGGAGGCGATCAACGAGGTGCACCAAGGAACGTGTGGCATGCATGCAGGCGCCCGCAGTCTGGAGAAAACTTTGCTCCGACAAGGATATTATTGGCCAACAATGCGAAGGGACGCAGGGAGACACGTGACGTTATGCCACCAATGCCAAATCCATGCTAACGACATTCATCTCCCAGCGGCACCTATGCAGGGAAATGTGGGCGCCTGGCCCTTCGCTCAGTGGGGCATGGACCTGTTGGGACCATTTCCAAGGGCGCCTGGTCAGTACAAATACTTAATTGTTGCGGTTGATTACTTCACCAAATGGATCGAAGCAGAACCATTGGCCTCAATCACTGAGGCGCAAGTGCGGAAATTCACAAGGAAGAACATCTTTACGCGTTTTGGGCTCCCGGAGTCCATCATCACTGACCATGGAAAACAGTTTGATTGCAAAAGGTTCATAGAGTTTTGCGATGATAATGGGGTCGTGTTAAGGTTCTCTTCAGTGGCCTACCCTCAAGCCAACGGACAAGCCGAGGCAGCAAACAAGAGTATTTTGCACGGCTTACACACGAGATTGGCAGAAGCCAAGGGAAGATGGGTTGAAGAATTACCGAGTATTCTATGGGCGCACAGGACATCCTTCAAAGTAGCCACGGGTGAAACACCCTTCGCGCTAACTTATGGTAGCGAAGCGGTATTGCCTGTCGAGATGCGTGTCCCAACTTTCAGGATGACCCATCGAAGTGAGTCTATGGAGGCCCAAGAGCGTATTGATGAGCTAGACTTATTGGACGAGCGCCGAGAGATGGCGGTGTTGCGATTAGAGGCCATGAAGGGTCAAGTGGCAAGGTACTACAACAAAAAGATGAAGGCGCACAACCTCATGAAAGGTAGCCTTGTCCTAAAGAGGGATTTCCGCCCAAAAGCGGCCGAAGGGAAGTTGGCTCCAAAGTGGAAAGGGCCCTACCGCATTCAAGAGGTCATTGGTCCAAGTACATTCAAACTGGAACACCTATCAGGTAAAAAGGTCAAGAGGACGTGGAATGCACAGAATTTGCGCAAATATGAGGCGCCTGAAACGGAGACAAGTACCATGCAAGGAGCAGAGGACCTGGCGCCTGAAGATGAGTAGACATGCAATGCTAGTACATTTTGTGGCGGAGTTGTGTTTTTCTTGTGTGTGTTATGTTTTCCAAAGCGCCCAGTTTCGCGCCCGCCTTATCCCGTAAAGCGCCCTACTCGCGCCCTCTCCATGTAAAGCGCCCCAAATTTGCGCCCCAAAATTTTGGAATCGGATTAATTATTATACGAGAAAGCGGATATCTAAGGAGGTAGTAACATTGCGCCCACCTTGTTGCGCCCCACGTAGCGCCCATGCCATTTGCGCCCAAGATTGTATTCTAAGTAATTCTAAATTAAAGCGCCCAAAAATAGCGCCCGGCAAAGCAAAGTCTAGCAAAGCGCCATGTTTCGCGCCCGCCTTTTGCAAAGGCGCCCTAACATGGCGCCCTCACAAGATAAGCGAAGCTTAGTAATAAAGGGAAAATTAATATGGAAGTAAAGCTAATTGGCAGGGAAACATAAGTTCTTTTAATTCAAAAAAAAAAAAAAAAAAAATGCAGGGAAAGATATTACAAGATAAGTAAAAGACAACACCCAAGGACAGCTAATCTACTCGGCGCCTGAATTCGCATCCCCAGCACTGGGCGCCTTAGGAGAAGGAGAGGTGGGAGCTGATGGCTCGGGCGCTTCACTGGTCCCACGAGGCGTCTCCATCCCGCCAATCACATACTCGGCCATCTCCGAGAGATCCCAAGTAAGGTCAGGATGGTCCTTCTGCAGCTTTCCCCGCAAAATTTCAATGCCGGTCAGGACGGCATTGGCGCACATGGATTTCCCAGTCTCCGACTCCATCAGGTTGTCCAAGGATTGCCGAAGTTCGGAAATTTCTTTCCGGGCCCTCTTCAAGGATTTCTCACTCTCCTTGTGGGCGTCCTTCAGCCTCCTCTTCTCCTCCTTAAGGATGTCGATTTCGCTGGCCTGGGCGCCAGCTTCCTGCGCCAGCGCATCCTTCTCGGCCTGCAGGGTGGCCAGGTTATTGCGCTCCTCGTCCAGGGCGCCTTGCAGACGAGACAACTCCATGGTGGCCGTCATCTGGGCTTCCTCACACTCTTTCGCAAACTGCTCGCGGCGTGCAGTTGCGTTCTCCAGATCCAACTTCAGCTGAGCAGCCGAAGAGGAAGCCTCGAGCGCCTCCCTTTTCGTCTCATTGAGGCGTCGGGCGCCTCTTTCAGCAAAAAGAAGGATCTGCAATCATGGGAAAAGGGTCAGTAAGTTAGAAATAACAAGTAGAAAGGATATGAAAATACAAGTGCAAAGAAGCATACCTTAGCGCCCACTTGGGCTAACTCAGCAAAATGGTGATCACTTGTCACCTCGGAGGGTATTTGCCAGGACTTGGCGGCCGCGATTGCCAAGCCCATGGCGCACCCTCGGTCAACGGCGACCAAGGGGGAACAGTTCATGTTGACCCGTCCAACCTCGGTACGCCGTGGCCGAAAGATGGGGGGGCGCCCATCGGGGCCTACATAGCGCCCCTCTTCATTTAGATGAAGGTGGGCGTTTTCCGCCGCCTCCGCCTCCACGCCCACTTCATCGTAGGCGTCCTCGTCGCAGCAGGCGTCCTCCTCGCCTACTTTCTTCTTGCCCCTGGCGGCCCTTTTACTGGCCGATGTTAAGGGGGAGCCCGCCCTCTTCCCCTTGCGGAGCAAAGGCTCCTCTTCTTCTTCCTCTTCCGCGGAGTTAACCTCCTTATCCGCGGGGTCGACATCAGGCGTCCCCTCGCCTTCTTCCGGGGCGGACGACGCCACGCTTGCCGTGCGCGCCTGAGCGGTGCCACCCTTCACCGCCCTCTTCTTCTCTTTCCTTCTCTTGGGGACGACGGGCGGCGCCTGTGATTGGGGGGCGGGTGCCGCTGGTTGACGAGGCGCCCCTTGCTGGGCAGGCGCCTCTTGCTGAGAAGATGCCGCCGCCGCCGCCACCATAGTCGCCAGCTTACTTTTCATAAGCTTAGCGATACTCGAGTAGTCCGCCCCTACACATGACAAAGATGAGTTAAGTACATAACGCAAAAACTAAAAAGCGTAAGGACGGAATAAGGACGCGGAACACCTAGACGCCTACACACCATCGTTGTAATATGCCTGAATAATAGGCGGACGATTCTCGGCGGGGCGTAAGTCAACAGGCTCCCCCTCGCAAATTAATGGGGCGCCTGCCTTCTCCGATGTTGTCAACACCACCTCCTTGTTAAAATCATCAACCTGGCCCAACGCCCATCTTCTAATGAAGGCGCCCCCACTCGCAAAGAAGGAGTCCTGATAAGCCTTCACGAAGAAAAAACCGTTGAACCAGCTTCGGTTCAACTTGGGGCATTTCTTCACGAAGTGGTAGGGGCGCTTCTTGCGTTTCTGGAGAGAGAGGCAGTTGTCGAGAGGCACCATTTTGAAGAAGTATCTAAATAAATTGAAGGTAGGCTCCACGTTGTGCTCCCGGCACCTCAATTTGAACAAAATGACGACCGTTATGACAGAGGGAGAGAGGCGCCCGAGAGGGCAGGCGCAAGTTGTCAGGATCCCCTCCATGATCGAGTCAAGGGGAAACTGCAGCCCGAAGCGAAAATATTCCTGGTAAATTCCGATCCATTTCGGGCCACAGACGCCCACCCGAGACAGAGGGGAGGGGGGCGCATACCACCAGTCTCGGGGAAGTTGGAGGCTGGTCACCAACTCGTGAACATGCTCCAAGGTGACTGTGGACGTGCGCTTCGGCCCGGCCACCTCGAAGGATAGGTGAGACGTCTCGGTAGGCAGATGGTCGGGAGGAAAACACTTCTCCCATGAAGTGATCTTGTAAGACCCGTCGGCCGGCAGAAACCCAGGCGCTGAGGAACTCGACGGCCCGGCAGACGACGACGGTCCACCAGATGTTGAAGGAAGCGCCCGCTCTAAACCAACAAATGACCCAGACGCAACGTCCACAAGGGGTAAGTGACGCCCCTACCCTAGGTGACTAGAGTAAAAACTCAATGAAATCGACGAAAGGAGAAGGACAACTTACCACGTTGAACTGGGCGCCTTGCCTCACCGCCGTCGCCGGAGGCGCCAGCGCCCGAGGCGCCGGGTGCAGAAGTCTTGTCTTGTTGTGGAGACGACATTTTTGGACGAGAAGTGAAGTGTTGGCCGAGAAAAACAGAGAGGAAAGTGGGCAGAGGTCAGAGCGGAAGATTCTAGAGAGAAGTCAGAGCAAGATTCTAGAGAGATGACAAATAAGAGAAAGTGACAGCATCACAAGGGGGGGGGGATATTTAAAGAGAAACGAAGGCTCACCCGTCGCATGACACGTGTCGGTCATGCCGAAGGAAACCCTTCCACTCCCCCCACCTTTTGCGTCTTTTCGCGCGTCACCAAAACACGGGCGGACCTTTGAGCTTCCCCCACACTCTCCTTTTCGGGGTAATTTCTCACCTCCCAAAATTCGAATTTCGAATTTCGAATTTCGAATTTTTCTTTTATCCAAATTCCCCCCGAAAAGCACAGTATGGGTGAGGGGGGGCGCAAGGGATGAGGACACTCACCAAAAAGGACACCAGGAAGCGCCCGAAAATGAAGGCCAATAAAAAAGGCGCCCCGATTTGGTGAAAGGCGCCTCGGCAAGCAAAAGGGACAGAAACACCTGGAAGAGTAGTCAATAAGGGACACATGCAAAGGCGGGACGCCTGATCGCGGAGGAAGAAAGGCAAACGCACCTTGTAGGACCAAGAAACAAGTGAGAGCACGGTGGCAGGCGCCCTGCAACTAAGCAGAAGGCTGGACTATGACTAGAGGTTCAGTCAGGCGCTCGTTGGCGAAGCCACGAGCACCTAACTGGGGGGGCAATTGTTGGGGGTATTACCCAGCGAGCTAGGGGACAAAGCCCAAAAGAGTAAAATGCCAAGAGCCAGGTGGCGGCCAACCGGCTGGTGGTCCACGGCCTGGGGCGCCTGACAGGTGTCAGGAGTCTGACAGGGTGGTTAGCTGTCACACAGAGCACCAAAAGCCAGGTGGCGACCAACTGGATGGTGGGCCGCGGCCTGCAGGCGCCTGGCAGAACTGTGGAACGCCAGTCAGGTGTCAGGAGCCTGACGGGGCGGTTAGCTGTCTGAGGGCGCAGAGCATTGAATGTGGGAGGTGACGTGGCGGAGATCAACCTCGAGTTCGGTGAGTATAAATAGGGGCAGACGATAGCATTTACGCAGGTTGGCTTCTCTCACTAAAACGACTCCCAAACACTTATCTCTCTAGAAAAGAGAACTGACTTAAGCTTCGGAGTGCTAACGGGTCGGCCGAGGCCCTTAGGCGCTTGTGGGTGCAGGTTCCGGGCGCCCGGGTGTCGGAGGAGTAAAAAGGCAAAGGATAAGAGTTCGGGGGTATCTAGGCACAAACACAAGTAAAGGTAAAAAATAGAATATCAAAATTAGAAAAATATCATGTAGAAAATAGGTAAAGAAAGATTCAAGATTCAAAAGATACCTTGTATAGCTTAAATTAGGTTCCAATTTCCCAAACAAGGTTTAATTCATCAGTTGAATCTACATCAGAACGAATTTATTGACTTAATCAAGCAAACAACATTAGATTTTTTTTTAAAATATTATATGAAATGTTAATTCCTTCTTCTTTTCGCACTCAAAAGGGTGAAAAGTAAATAGAAATTAATTTACAAAACCGTCCTAAACAAAATCTCTAACAGACGTCCCCTCTGTCAAAAAAAAAACAAAAGAATCAAAGAAACTGTTGAGATTCACATAAATCAACAATAATAATAAGTTAATAACAAATAATTCAAAATTAGAAGGGGAAACAAAAAAAAAAAAAGCTCTGAGTCGTCTCCTTCCCCGCAGCCTCCTATATTTGACCCTTTCCCTTCTCCAATCCCCTCGCGCAAAAAAACCCACTCACTCCTCCTAACCTCTCCCATTCAATCTTTCTCTCACTCCCTCTTCCTCCGTCGCCACCGCGATGGCTTGCCCAGCCGACGAGCTGGCGCGGCTCCTCGGCCCCAACTCCACCGCCGCCGCCTCCTTCATCTGCGACCGCTTCACCGCCGCCTCCGACAACTTCACCGCCACCCAGTACGCCGTCGACAACACCTACCTCCTCTTCTCCGCCTACCTCGTCTTCGCGATGCAGCTCGGCTTCGCCATGCTCTGCGCCGGCTCCGTCCGCGCCAAGAACACCATGAACATCATGCTCACCAACGTCCTCGACGCCGCCGCCGGCGGCCTCTTCTACTACATGTTCGGATTCGCCTTCGCCTTCGGCACCCCTTCCAACGGCTTCATCGGCCGCCACAATTTCGCCCTCGGATCTTTCCCCTCCTCCAATTTCGATTACAGCTACTTCCTCTACCAGTGGGCCTTCGCAATCGCCGCCGCCGGAATCACCTCCGGCTCAATCGCCGAGCGAACCCAATTCGTCGCCTATCTAATTTACTCCTCCTTCCTCACCGGATTCGTTTACCCAGTCGTTTCCCACTGGTTCTGGTCCCCCGACGGATGGGCCAGCGCGGGGAAATCCTCAGATCTGCTTTTCGGGTCGGGCGTGATTGATTTCGCCGGGTCGGGCGTCGTCCACATGGTCGGCGGAATCGCGGGGCTCTGGGGCGCTCTAATCGAAGGCCCCCGGATCGGGCGGTTCGGCGGGTCGGGTCGGTCCGTCGCGCTCCGCGGCCACAGCGCCTCCCTCGTCGTCCTCGGCACCTTCTTGCTCTGGTTCGGGTGGTACGGGTTCAACCCGGGTTCGTTCGCCAAGATCCTAGCCCCGTACCCGGATTCAGACGCCTATTACGGCCAGTGGAGCGCGATTGGGCGGACCGCCGTGACGACGACGCTCTCCGGCTGCACGGCGGCGCTGACGACGCTGTTCGGGAAGCGGGTCATGTCGGGTCACTGGAACGTGACCGACGTCTGCAACGGACTTTTGGGCGGGCTGGCGGCGATCACGGCGAGCTGCTCGGTGGTGGAGCCGTGGGCCGCCGTGATCTGCGGGTTCGTGGCGTCGCTCGTGCTCATGGGCTGCAACAAGCTGGCGGAGAAGCTGAAGTACGACGATCCTCTGGAGGCGGCGCAGCTGCACGGTGGTTGCGGGATGTGGGGGGTGATTTTCACGGCGCTGTTCGCGTCGGAGAAGTACGTGGCGGAGGTTTACCCGAGCGTGGCGAACAGGCCGTATGGGCTTTTTATGGGCGGCGGGGGCAGGCTGCTGGCGGCCCATTTGATCCAGGTAGTGGTGATTGTGGGCTGGGTCAGCGCCACGATGGGCCCGCTTTTTTTTATACTGCACAAGCTGAAGTTGTTGAGGATCTCGGCGGAGGATGAGCTGGCGGGGATGGATCTGACGCGGCACGGCGGGTTTGCTTACGCGTACCATGACCAGGATGACCCGGACCAGAAGGGCGGGTTTCCGCTGAGCAGGGTTGAACCGGCGGCCACAACGCCTCAGAGTGTTTAGGACGTTTTTTTTTCTTTTCCCATTGGGTTTGGGTTGTTACTAATTATGGGTTAATTTTTGTTTTAGGGAAAGACGGAAAGTATTGTTTGTTCTTTAAAGTAGGGGGTTTGAAATTTGAATGTTGAATGTAAAGTCAGTTCTGAGTGTATGTGGGTGGGATGTGGATTGTGATTGGTGGTGTGGTTTTATTGTTGGATATTTGGGGGAAGTTTATATTTAGCTTTGGTTCTGATTATGAGTCATTGAAATGGTTTTTATTTGGAATGATCAAGGTTTTCAAACCGGTTTATGCCGGTGTGGCGGTTTTGAAAGTGGAATGGTCCGATCGTGGTACGACCAATATTCACGCCGGTTTTAATAAAATATATGAGACAAATGAAAATCCTCAATTCCAAATAAATTAGTCATCAAAAAGCAATTAGAAAAATTATTTCACACAAAATAATTTATAGCTAAGAATTGGTAACTAATACTGAACAATTAGATGCTTAAAAATAAAAATATATAAAATGAATTTTATTAATGTTTATAATGATTTGTGTAAAATTAAGTATTAGATATATAATATATAAGGTATTTGGTTCAAATCCAAAGGAAGGTGTTTATTTTTGGATAAAATATGTGTAACATTGAATTCCGGTTTCTGGTCTAACTGGCCGGAATTTCCGGAATTGACCGGAATTGACCGGATTTGACCACAGTTAAATACCGGCCTCTTTCCAGCCGGTTTGATGACCGGTACCGGTTGTACTCGGTTTGGTGACCGGTACCGGTTGTACACGGTATCTAAGCAATAATTCCAATTCGATTTGGTTCGGGTAAAAATAAAAAATCAAAGACGAATATCGAATACAAATGAGCTAAACACGAGAATATAAGATACATGTGACAAAATTTACATTCCCATATTTGTGGGTTTTTTGTCCAATTCTCACATACGTTTAGTCATACGAACATGAGAATTAGACCCAATTACTTCGTTTTTGAAAGTATTAAACCCAATCTGCAGTACACATTTCCACAATCAAACCTTAATTAATTAGTTGTTGGGATTCTCAGCCATTGGGAGAAGAAAACAATGGGAAGGGAAAACTTGCGGTAGGAAAAGGCACGTACATGCATGGGGAGGACACGTGGCGCATGGAAAACTGATCTGTTGCACTAGTTTGGGCTTATTGCGGGTGATCTTTACTTTACTCCTAGTTGTTTTGTTGTCTCTCCATTTGGGCTCCCATACTTTGTACACTAATCTCATTCTCAGTTTATTAATAAAGTTATAAAACTGATTTGTTAAATAAAAAAGAGCGTGCAAGGGAGAGGGAATAAATATGCCGACTACGGGCTTCTAGAGGGCACTCCCTACCTTTTGGTTTCCATTGTTCGAATGTTTCTGATCCTATGTTGAACTACTGAATTATGTATGATTTACATTGATCAATGGTAGATTCATTTAAGGGAAGAATCAAATCTACTTTAGCAAATTCATAGTTGGTCGATGACACATTAATTTCCAACATCATAGATATGTCATGGTATATTATGTTTTCAGACAACTACAATTCTATTGCGAATTGTCTGAAAGAAATGATAAATCATAAATAAAGAGCGGATGAACGATGTCTACTCAGCATGGTTTGCCTCTCCACATACAACCAAATCCATTAAGCCACTCAAGAGGAAAATAACTTGCATGCATTTGCCAACATGTAGATCGAACTCAAGAAATTTAGATAGCACAAAATACACATTGATACGATCCTCGAACTCTCACCTACAGAGACAAGAACATAGTTATAACTTATAAGTGAATATGCCATAAGAAGGTTTGAAAGAATCTAACTGATGAACCAAACGTGTTTGAAAATCCGTAAAAACACTTGAAAATGTCAAATAGTAAATTATTTTGTGTTGACACTTGAAAATGTCAAACAATTCAATCCATCCATCCATCGCCCATTTCAATTGCAGAAAATCGCGGTCCACCACTCTCCAAACCCACCTCCACTAACTATATAAACTATCGTAATCTCACCTCATTCCAACATCCTCAAACAATAAAACCAAATAAAACACACGATCTAATTTGTTCGCTCTCTTTCTTTTTCCCACCATAAACTAAACCACCAAAACCAAGAATCGCCATGGCCAGCATGCAACAGAGCAGGGCCGAGGGGCAGGAGAAGGCCCAGGAGTGGACCGACAGCATGCAGCAAAAGGCCGACTCCGCCAGCCACAAAACCGCCAGCTCCGCCGAATCCGCCAAGGAAGGCGCCCAGCAAAAGGCCGCCGCCGGCCAGGAGAAGGCCGCCAGCGCCGCGGAGACGGCCAAGGGCAAGGCCGAGTCCGCGGCCGAGGCCGCCAAGGACAAGGCCTCCCGGGCCGCGGACTCCACCAAGGAGACCCTTGGGCTGAAGGGAGAAACGGCCCAGGCGGCTAAGGACAGGACCGTGGGCGCGGCCCAGTCCGCCAAGGAGACGGCCCAAGAAGGTGCGGATAAAGGGGCCAACCTTCTCCAGCAAACTGGTGAGTCGGTGAAGAATATTGCGCAGGGGGCGGTGGATTCCGTGAAGAACACGCTTGGAATGGGCGAGAGGAAGTGATGATTCAAGATAATGCAGGAGCAGGAGGAGGATGGAGAATAAATAAAAAAAACTTGAACTCATAATACAAGTATAGCTCTCTTCGTTTCTCGATGATGAAAGTGTTGAGAGTTAAATTTTCTAAGCTATTTTTTATATATAAGTTTCGTATTTCTTTTTTACTGTTTTTTCTCCCTTTGTGTGTAATGATTTCTGTTTTTGCCTTCCAATTTTGTTCAAAATTGTGAAGAATAGTTGTGATGAATACAAAAATTTATGTAAACAAATTCCGTGCGATCTTAGCAAAGATGTATGGTGTTTTTATTTACTTTCCTTTTCATTCACCAACCTTTTGTTTCGAATTTGAATAGTTTTATTATGTGACTTTTAATAAATTACGATAATTTCAAAATTACTGGATGAGAAAGATTGACAGTTTATCTATTCAAAATTTTCAAATTACGGGAAGAGATGTATGTGCCATAATGTAAACGCAATTTTTTGCCACTGAATCCATAAATTCCATCTCGTTACAACCCGCCTATCAACAACATTTATGATGTCTACACAAATCGTCTCATGCCTCCAATTGAGTCTCTCCTCCCTTATCCAATTTGTATAATGTTCTCCATCAAATTCGAACCGACTTTTTGTAATATTAGAATATTAGAATGTATTGTTTGGCTTGTATGAATTTTCAACAATTATCAACAATGATGTATTAGTATATGAAGTACTGGTAAAATTCTTAAATGACTCCCTTGCTCTTTTACTTTTATTTCTTCCCTTCTTTGTAATAGAAAATCCAGTACAAAGAGTTGAAAATTCAACATTTTACTAGGGATGAATTATTCAATGCTTTGAGTAGAGCTAAAGCATTGAAGAACTCACATGGAGATGTATATCAACATTACATTGATGTTTAATATCATAATATTGGTTCTAAATAGAATCAAAATAACAAAAAAAATTGTTATATCATGTATTCTAAGAATCATAGGGGTAGAATACTTGCTTGCGAAATTACCTATATTCATTTTAAGTTTTTAACACAACCTGGTCTAAAGAGGGGGCAAAAAACAATCAACATTGGGGCATAATGGCATAACAGATTAACAGAAGCCCTGCATGCATGGTAGTTTCAATTTCATATAAGTCGACTATCCATTAGGGCTGAAAATTTTTCCAACCCGTTTCAGATCCGTCCCTTTATTCAGTTTGACCCATCCCTGAAGGATCAAGATATATAACTGACCAGTATCGTTCCTATCTCCTTCTTGACCCTATCTGACTCTCAAAGGTTGGGACGGATTCAGGAGCGGACCCACGCATATTTGGGGGTGTCACCGGACACCCCTAAATTTGGAAAACGATTATTTAAACCCCGGTGGTAAATTACGTATGAACAAAAAAAAAATATAATTGATAGTCGGGGACATTCCTGAAATTTAAAAAAAGATTATCCTACTCTCATTTTCTAGTTTGGGTATGAGAATATAAGTGGTAGTTTGGGTAATTCAAACCTAGGACACTATGATTATTAATAAACATAATTTCTATTAAGCTACAAGCCTACAACTCATTTGTTGTTCGGTATTAAACACTGTGTAATAGTAAGATGTCATTCACTATCTCTAATTATTTTCTAAACCTAACAATTAAACAAATTTCAAGCTACCCTTAATTTGTATTGATTTTATGGTTGTACGAAAAGTGTTGAAAGAGTCTTTTCAGCTTTGGATTACATAAAAAACAAGTTTAGGAATCAAATATGTGATCAGTTCGTGAATGATTGTCTAGTAGGATACACAAATACAATTATTTTGAGCAATGTAGGCACCAAGTGTATTCTCCAATTATTTTCGAATATGAAAACATATAGTTGACTTTTTTAAGTTGTACGAGTCAAGTATTTTCTTATTTAAGAATTATTTAATTTTTATTAATTATTTAAGACTTATTTTATTTAATTTATTTTTTAGAAGGGGACACCCCTATGTAAAATTCTTGAGTCCGCCACTGGACGAATCGAGTCAGTGGGTCGACCCTAATCAACTCACTAATTTTTAAAAATTTCTGTTTTGGTGCCCAAAATTATTTTTCTTACAAATTAGTACCCAAACTTTAATTTTTTACAAGTAAGTCCATAAATTTGATGGTAAAATTACGTTTTGGTACCCAAAAAATTTCATTTTTACAATTTAATACCTACCCCTTTAAAACTTTACAAAAAGCCCCAATGTAGTATGAGATATTTGTTATTGCTAAGGGTCAGGGGGTCAAAAAGTGACCCGTCCTTAAGTTGTCCCTACCCATCCCGACCCTTACAGAATCAACAAATAAGTCATCCCTAATCTGACCCTATAGACAAAAGGGCACGTCTCGACACTCAGGGACAGGTCAGTGGGTCTTCCAAGCTTATACCCCTACTATCCATGATAGGTGATGGATAACATTATGGGCCGGATAATATAGGCCAAACCTAATATGGAATTTACCTAAGCCCAAAAGGAAAATAGTCAGGTATGTAGAAAGAGCCCATAGCTCCAGAACGGATTTCGAAGATGACGATTGTGAATTTGTGCTAGTATCACTTGATTGGTTGTATTAGGTTACCAAAAACTGGTCATGGACTCATGGTAAGTAATTCTCCTCCTTCTCCGGTTGATTCAATGGTTCCACCGTAATTCTCCAATCTTCTTCCCATAATCCGTAACCAAATCGCTGCATTGACGATTTGATGCTGCTTCTCTACGCATTGTGCATTGAAGTTACCATAAACTTGCATCTGTATCTATCACGAAAATAGCGGATTAACCCGATCCACCCGACCCATGTACACCCCTAATACTTTCTAAGTAACTAAGGTCGCTATCAGCCTTTTTATCATTTTATTCATCACATTCACTGCTCTCTGCCACTAAAAAGTGCGTGGGCTCCGCCATCACTGCTCTCTTGCAGGTTACTTCTTTTAATTAACGCTAGTTGTGGTCCAGCATATCATAACTTCATTCCACAGCCGAATATTTCCATTTGGCAAAAAAAAAAAAAAAAAAAAAAAAAAACTAGCCACAGCAGCAATTACTACAGAATCACCATCATCATTATGAAATTGCTGTTACACATTCATGACTGTTCCTTTCTATACATTGATGATCATCGTCTTAATCCATTAATTCTGCGGTAATAATGCTCCTAATCCGCTACCACTTTCACCACCCGTTTGACGAATGAGAAGTTGGGTTTACCTTTACCGCCGAGGACGAAGCTGGACGGATTCTTGTTCTTGTTCCTGCTGCCGACGATTCTCAAACTCTGCCGCAGAATGTCTGCCTCCCGTGCCCTGTTGAACTCTCCCCGCTCCGCCGCAACGAGCCTCGCTTTCAGATCCTCTATCGTCTCTTCCTTCAACTTCAGTTCCATCTTCAGCTCCTGTATCAAGACGTTTTCTTCTTCCTCTGCTGCTCTGCGGTGCATCAATCCACCTCCTGAAACAACATTTTGTTTGAATGGAAGTTAGAACTAGGTAGGGAAGATCGGTTTGATTTATCATGATATATAAAATTCATAATTAACTTTATCTCAATAAATCAAGCAAGTGATGGAAACGTAACCCACGTTTCAAGGGTTTGCTCGTAGCTCACGAACGGGAGAACGACTTGGGCATCGATAAACCTTTAGTTTTATTATTCGATAACCTGAACTAATGCCGGACATACAATATATAGACTACTAACCGAAACCTTAACCCTACCCTGGCCGACTCGGACTCCTACGAGACCTCCTCCTACTGGACTTCTAACAATTAACTAATGACCCCACTAACCGAACACTAATGACCCAATCCCAAAAGCCCACCTTTCTGCATCGGCCTCCCTATCCCGACGTGTACCCATCAGCAAGTTATCAAGATCATCAGTTGGTTTATAACATGATATCAAAACCGATTTGGTCAAGTGGTCAAGTTTTCAAATCTCTATGACTCACAACATTAACACTTGATATAAGCACCAGATATGGTGGACAAGTGCAAACTTCAAAATCGTGTGTGTTGATATAAGAACCATATATAATTAAATTTGAAATTGAGATCAACAAAAAATTTCTAGTCATAAAAACAGAAAGACATGAATTGTGCAAGAAGTTCTTTCGGTGAAAACGTCATGCGACTAGGAGGACATAAGATTTATTGGTCAAGCCAAAAAGATTGCCGACAGGATATGCTCCTCCTAACTATACTATGGTTCAACGTTTAAAAACCCTACAAATATTGGCGGCTAGCTGGATCGAAAATACCAGATATCGGACCAAAAATAATAATCAATTTTAAAAGTACAAATGAAGCACGATCAAACCGTAATTTGGATGCAAAATATACCCTGTCATTAACTTTCTGGAGATAATTTCCACTACGATTTCAAAATCATTCCTATTGCTATGCCACCAAGATGCTAAAGTTTCGTCTTTTGTCTTTCAGGAGTTTGAACCAGATGGGAACAAAAGGCGAAATGGGCAGAGTCTGAAACAGCAACTAACTCATGGCCATCCATATGTCATTTAGCACCATAGGAATATGCGAGTAACATTCATGAAAACCTATTTTCTTTTGTCTCTACTTTATATGGGTGTTATTTTGACAAAAGGAGCCGTCACCTCCACTGCAGGAACAGTAGAATAAGTGAACAATGAAAAATACAGAGGAAGAGAGATGGGACATTTGAATGTTAGATGAGATGATATAACTCCTCCCACCTATTAAAAAAAACTGGTTGATTTATGGTGAGATGACAACACTGAGTTTTATAAAATCACAAGTGGTTCCACAGAACCCAAAAAGGCAAAAAGACCATGTCAAGCCTAGCCATGATAAGAACAGAGAACAGTAGTATCTTACTATGCACTGAACTGCAAGGCTCAAAAAGATTGGAACTTGAAATTCATTCATGGTTATGTTATGTATAATGAAATTGCAGCCATCAAATTGGGTTTCTGTAACTTTCCTTGAACTGACTGCTGGGCTCAAAAAGATTGGAACTTGAAATTCATTCATGGTTATGTTATGTATAATGAAATTGCAGCCATGAGAGGCAGAGAAAAGAAAAAGATGGAACCAATTACCAGGATGAGTGTTCTGAATGAGATCATCAAGCTCGGTTTTGATGGCAAGGTAGAGCTTCTTCCATTTATCAGCAGCAGCATCTCTGAGTGCCCTCTCCTCCCTCATCTGCTGCAGCAAGAAGTTAGTGGCTGTCCCACCTGAGAGTTGCCATTGCCAATATGCATTACATTCTTCTTCTTCCTCCACATTTTGTTTACATTCTTCCACCATCTTGTTCCCACCACCCAATTCCAACCCTTTGACAATCTCTTCTTTCTCTTCCACGAGCTTCTTCAGCCTCTTCACTTCCTCCTTGAGCTTCCTCTTCTCTTGCTTCCACTCTGCTTCCTTGAATGCAAAAACCATGAAATCCCTCTCATAGGCTTTGCTCTGTTTCTCTCTGTCGTAAATGATTGCTTCCAACTCCTCTTCCAGTAGCTTCACTCTCTCTCCTTCTTTAACACTGCTGCATTTCTTCTTCCCGGTAAAGCAAATCATGGCGGTTATACCCTGTTCATAGGTCTTGGTGGAGTTCAATAAGAAAAAGAAGAGGTAGATTGCTTTAAGAAGAGAGATGAAGAAGAAGGGAAATTTGGGTTTGTTCTTGTGGCTTATTACTTATTAGTAGCCAGCTAGCTAGAGTAGAGGTGAAGGTGTTGGTTATATGGTTTGTTTGTTTGTTTGTATTTCAGAAGAGAGAAGTGTGTGATTGACATGAATTCTTTAGCTTATGGGCTCCCTCTTTCATCAATCAATGAAGAGATGGGATTCTACCAACGAAAATGAAAGAGATGGGACATGGGAGCATGGAGTAGTCGGCCTATCCGGGAAAGTAGCACTTCTTCTTCTACAGAAACATATTTTTTTGGTAGAAAAGTGGGACGCTAAAAGGGCGCTCCTGTCTGATACTTAAATTAAACGAGTTTGGGGAACGTCCATTGAGTCATACTGATACAAAAGCCAAAAGTTTAGCCCGGAGTCATTAGACTCTAAAACATGAAAGCCTAAACAAAGGGAGTGACCTTTATTAGCTAAGTAATCAGCCGCCTTGTTTCCTTCTCTGAACGTGTGAGAGATACGAACCTCCCAATTTTGCTGGATGAGCTTCTGGAACTGCCTCCAAATTCCAAAAGCAATGATAACGGCCTTCATACGACCCAAGTGATGTCATAATGTTGAGAAACATATTTTTTACGTATGAGCCATGTACAATACTAATTGTTAGTTTTGAACAATAATTGTTAATTTTGCGAACTCGGCCGTGGCCGAAAAAATAATTTTATGTTACTTTGTTCTACAAATTGTAACAACTAGAAACTAACTTATTTTGCAACCACATTAGATTATAGTTGAAACCGGTCTTAAACCACACATAAAATAGAGAATGGATAGTGTTGGGCATATGAAAAAGGGCATCATTATGATTGGAAAATAATGGAGAGAAAAAAAGTCATTTGCAATGATTAGTGGAGAGCAATCATTTGAGAGTTGCGTTGAAATCAATTTATCTCGTTCTGTTTTTTCGTCAAACGAGTCACTTGTATCAAATGACTAATGCGGATAACCGTGAGATGCTAAAAAGAAGTGCTTATATAGAAATTAAGATACTAAAAGGAATATACAAGGATATATATCTATGCATGAATCATGCACAATCTCAATCGACTCTAAACAACAAAACAAAAAAAGCTTTATGAAAGCGCTAATAAAACAACAATCGTCTCTTCTAACGATGCTGCTAACTTTCATACCCGAACGAGAAAAAACGTCTGAAACCATCGAAGAATGTCGAGGCATATCCACCCTGGAACAATGAGTAACACACGTATGTGGATTTCTGACAAAGTGATGGCACCACCATTTCGGCCACTTTAATTTATTTACTTACTACTAATTAGTAGGATAGGATTATTTGTTGGAGGAAATGTGAAGCATAACGGTTACATTTTCCAGAGTGCATGGATCAATTATGAGCCTGCCTCCACAACCTTCAAGTTTGGTCCCACGTCACAAGGAGGATCGAGGGCAAGTACTAGTGTTTCCTTTTGTTTGTTTGGTTGTGCACTCTAATATCTTTTTAGACTATACTAGGGTGTAGCGTGAAGAATTAGTTAGATTACAAGGTTGTCAATCCGCGGGTTGATCCACGGGTCGACTCAATTTGACTCTGACCCGGTGAGAAAAACGGGCCGCACGCACCCTTCGGGCCGACCGCTATTAGGTACTGGGTTGGAGGTCAAATTGTGTCATTTTTCTTTAGTTTGCGAAATGCGCATATTTTCCAATTTTTCTTTTCGCCTAACTCAATTTTTGGAATACTAAGTTGAACATTTGAATATTTATGTTATATAAGTGTGTGTGAATTTTCACTATATGTTGGATCTAAGTACGATATGTTATTTTGGTATAATATTATATGTTATAACTCATATGTTAGATAAAATTTGATATAATTTATGAGGATAAGTGCAATATAATGACTCTTTCTATATTTCCGAGCCAAACCGGGCTAAAACGGTTGACCCACTAACCCTTGACCCACTAGCTCGACCTGGTCCGGGTCAACCAGTGGGTTGACAACCTTGGTTGATTGCAATAATTTGAGTTTTGGAAGCAACAGTGGAGTCACCTTTATTGGACTGTGTCACATAACATTCTTAAAATTTAGGGTAAATACAATATATTAGCAAATAACTATTAAGCAGCGGGGGATTATAGTCACAACTACCGAAATTGGCCAACCGTTAAGTCTTCGTTAACACTTCTGTTAGTAATGATGACTAGGCTTTTACGATGCTGAGCTATCTCCCACGTGGCAGTCATCATATAATATTTTTTACGATGCTGAGCTGTCTCCCACGTGACAGTCATCATATAATATTTTTTACGATCCTGACATGGCATTCTCTGTTAAAAATTTGAAAATAGTAACGGGCTGTTAGCCAAATCTTGACACACAACAATAGTTATGGCTAATAATTTGTATTTCGATAGCCGTGGCTATAATTCCCCACTGCTTAATAGTTATGACTAATATATTGTATTTACCCTAAATTTTAATAAAAAATTATTAACCATAAAAAGATTTAGAAGTAGTATTTGAATACTAGAGGTTTATGTAATATGAGAAGTTTTCACCTAAGAATATATGCTATGAATGTTTTTCCCCACTCATTTTCTAATACGAAAAAATACAACATGGTTGTTTATACAAAAGAAACTCGTATTAATAAAGTATTATTTTTCTTTTATGATCGATTATGTGAATATTAATTTATAAAATCTTATATATTTATTCATATATTTACATCGTGTAAACGACACGTCAGTTTTAACCTTTTGGTTCAGCAACTGTTCGGTGGTAATATTTTACCAGTAATATTGATCTCCGGAATGTGAGGGAGGAGGACGAAGAAGCAGTTAGTTCACTATCAAGTCTTTCAGAAACTCGTATTAATAAAGTATTTTTTTTCTTTCATGACTGATTATGTGAATATTAATTTATAAAATCTTATATATTTATTCATATATTTACATCGTGTAAACGACACGTCTGTTTTAACCTTTTGGTTCAGCCACTGTTCGGTGGTAATATTTGACCGGTAATATCGATCTCCGGAATATGAGGGAGGAGGACGAAGAAGCAGTTAGTTCACTATCAGTCTTTCAGAAACTCGTATTAATAAAGTATTCTTTTTCTTTTATGAACGATTACGTGAATATTAATTTATAAAATCTTATATATTTATTCATATATTTACATCGTGTAAACGACACGTCTGTTTTAACCTTTTGGTTCAGCCACTGTTCGGTGGTAATATTTGACCGGTAATATTGATCTTCGGAATGTGAGGGAGGAGGACGAAGAAGCAGTTAGTTCACTATCAGTCTTTCTAGAAACTCGTATTAATAAAGTATTCTTTTTCTTTTATGAACGATTACGTGAATATTAATTTATAAAATCTTATATATTTATTCATATGTTTACATCGTGTAAACGACACGTCTGTTTTAACCTTTTGGTTTAGCCACTGTTCGGTGGTAATATTTGACCGGTAATATTGATCTCCGGAATGTGAGGGAGGAGGACGAAGGAGCAGTTAGTTCACTATCAATCTTTCAGATACATCAACAGTATAATTTATAGCTGAAAAGTAAAACTGCACCCTCCATTCAAATTTTCCTGCCCATAGAGTGATTTTAGGAAGCTGATGTGGCAGAGTGTTACGCGGGAAAAAAAGGAGTCCTCGCCTGATTTCAGAACCAAAAAACTGTCCACTACCCACCTTTTCTCCTGCAAGGCCACGTTGTCATTTAATTTGCATTTATTTTTATTTGGCTGAAATAAGCCCACCTTTTCTACTGTTATTAAGAGAGAGAAGAAATTCACAGAAAGGGAATCGCAATTGCAATCACATTACAGAGAGAGAGGGGGAAAGGTGAAAGGGAGAAGGAAGGAATGTGGTCGGGGATCAAGGACAGCTCTTGAAGGAGGTCCGGTGTGGCGTCGTGGAGACGTAGCCTTGCTGCGCCGAAGTTGAGGTTTCGGACCGCCGCTGTAATCACCGTCGCGCTCGGACGAATCAGAGGTGGGAAGAAGCCGTTGGAGTTGGAGTCGAAGGTGACTCCCAGCGAAGCCTGCGCCTCCTGGATCGATTTGGGGCTGCGATGGATCGAATGTTAGGGTTTGGAGGCGGCGGGAATTTGGGGTTCTGAGGAGGACCTGGATCGATTTGGGGTGCATATTTGTGGGTAAACTTTTGTAGGGTTTGGGAAGACAAAATTGAATCGTGTAATTGAGGAGAGAAATCGGAAGAACACCGTCTCCCCCGCCGCCACGAACCCTGCTTCTTCTAAACGTGCACTGGATGAACTGGATATTCTTTTTGAAGCTTTGGACCGTTCAAAGTGCATTAGCAAAGTTGTTTTTGACTTGAGCCTTGCCAGAGGGCTTGATTACTATACTGGAGTCATATACGAGGCTGTCTTCAAAGGAACTACACAAGTGCGTTACTATCATTGCCGTTCTGTTACTCCAACTTTGATCTGGGATTTTGTTTGTCAGTAAGTCTGGTCTAATGTATTGATCCTTTCAGGTTGGTTCGATTGCGGCTGGTGGGCGTTATGACAACCTTATCGGCATGTTTGGCACCAAGCAAGTCCCTGCTGTTGGAGTCAGCCTGGGGATCGAACGTGTGTTTGCTATAATGGAGCAGGTTCAGAAGGACAGGAACCAGGTAAGATGATGAATGTATTACCAAAAATAGAAAATCTTCTCGCCAAGATTTTCCCCCCAATTAATCAAACTCTGGGAATTAGAAAGCTAAAAGTGAACGGGCTAGAGAGTGGTTCTGACTTTTGAGACATCTCATAAGTGATTAGGAGCTGATGTTGTGAGGTTGATATGGCAAAATTGACAATCTTATGACTACAATTAATGCCTATCAACGGACAATAGGTTTCCCTTTGTGTAAGTCATTTCGAGGGTTTCATGTAATGATGAGTTTGCCTGCTTTCAAATTGTTGAATACCTACGCAACCATTTCAATTACCTCTTCTTTATTGACCTCACAATTGTGATTGTGCAATACCTAGAAATCGATAAAAGACTGGGTAGCTCAATAGTTGTCTCAAAGGATACCACTTCACAGGTTGCGGGTTTAATTGCCTATTTCCTCTAATAAGTCAGTACTGTATGTGTTTCTGTGTACGCCAAGTCTTAGGGGAAGAACCACAGCAGGTTTTGGTTTTCAACTTCAACTGTCGCAGCTGTTACTTCTCCGTGGAATTTCCTGCCATTACAATTTACTTACTCACGGCGCACCTGTTACTTCTCCGTTTTCGTGCTTTGCTGTAGTTTCCTTTGAGTTCGAGTGAATTTTGGTTTGATCATCTTTGGTGTACATTGTTTGAATTCCGATTTTGCGATGGTATGTCAGACACACATTTCTGGGTAGCTGAACAACCAAAATAGAGGAGGCGAGACTTTCAGAAGTAGAAGGCTCAACCTGATGAAGTCAAGGTAGATGGGGAATGGCGTTTCCACAAGGGAAGTGAACTTAGATCCATTGACCGGCTGTTCAAAGGTGAGAACCTGTTCCTGCCGTTTACTTTTGATTCTTTGCTTTTCACGTTGTTCCGATAAAAAATCTGATTGTTTTGCTGCCGATATTGAAGACTTTAGGAGGAAATTGGAACTGAGTCTAAAGTTTCATATCTGATTGTATATGCTCTGGAGGTGCTCAAGATTCAATTTCTCTTATTAATTTTTTCCAGCTTCGTTCTACAAGTGACATCAAATCAAATGTTCATGAAGCTACCAGCTATAGCTTGAATAATTTTGGTATATCTTATTTGTTGTTTTAGAGTAGATAGCAAACTATGATCGACCTAGAAACTCAAAATTTATTTATTTTCTTAAGTTAGTCACAATCGTACCGTAGAAAAACCAGATCAACTATTGATGGTAAAGTATTATGGCATTTGTGAATGAAATCGTTGTCAAAAGCTTATGGGTTCATTGATGTGGTTTATGTGACTATAATTTGTTATCATGGGATCCAGTAGAGAGCACTTCATTGTGTGCATAAGTTGTCAACTCCAACAGTTCTGTTGCAATGACCTTCTTATACTTTTGGAGTTTCTTGCATCAAAATACATAATTTATGCTCGGTTATTCTTTTCTTGTCTCAGAAGCCGAGATTGTAGAATGTGTCTCTGCTATTTCAACTGACCTTTCTATAGAATTTTGTGAGATTTTTGCAATTAAAATTTCTTCTTCTCTCATATTGCTGCAAGCGTATTCATGTCAATCCTCAATACTTTTTCCCCATCGAGGGATATCTCAATAGACTTCCGGCATCATCTGCTTTTGTTTCTCCCCTTGCTCGAACCCTAGACTTCTCCCCCTTCTCTGTTCACAATCACAATGCTCCATAGATTGTGATTTTCCTTCTCTTCCATCCCACAACCTTATAGATATAATGCCTTATATTTCGAAACCACCGGCAGCGAGGGTGGATTGTAGAGACTCGCCGATGAGCTGGGAGTGAAGCGACACAGGTTTGTTAAGTTCTGTCACGATTTTCACTTTTTGGTTTCCCTTCCCGCAGCAGTGGAGAACCAGAACAGAAGTTAAGTTTCTTTCTCCATGTTCGCCCCTTGATTCCCTTATATTCCTTCTCCCATTCTTAATAATTTTTATGTCTCAATAGCCCTTTCTATTCCATGCATTGGTGTTCACGTGCCTCCCATGCAGTAGGGTTGATTTAGTACTTTCTGGCTTGTCGGATGGTTGTGTTCATGGGGAAGCTCAGTCTGTGGGGTAACTCACCTTCTGAATTCTCATATCACAATTTCACAAGTTTTGAATTGGTAGGACACAGTGAGGGTTCCTTATTTATGGAAATTCAGCTTTATATCTCTATGTCTTGATTTCCAGTTCCAATTGTACTGTCATTTTGAACCCTTGATTTCCGAACTATGTACGCAATGAAGTGTAGGTTACCCTTTGTTCTTGAGTTGTCATGGTGGCGTGCTTTTGATTTGGTAATTTACCGCTTTTCACTAGGTCCACATTCTCATCCACTTTGATCCGGAGTTCTCCAGCTCATAACTGAATAGCTGCAAGGTTTTTTGGACTCCGATATACGCATTGGTAGGTTATCCGTTCTATGTCCCCTTGACCTCTTACACAAAATCCTTAGATAGCTTACTGAATCTAAATTCTAATTTTTGTGCTTTAATGTGTCCAATTTACAGTATATTTGGTCAAAATTTAATGGTGCACTGATCTCCTATATAAGGTCTATTCACGGGATGAAGTGACGACCCTAATGCCCCAATTACACATGTGGCCATTGATGTAGCATAAGGAATAGTAAGAGACTCTGTTCATTTGCATTCCAGCTTATGACTTTATGTTTTTGTGCATGATAAAGAGATGTGTTCTTCAACAAACCGAAATTCAAAGCAAAAGAAAATTAAGTCCTGCTCCTTGAGTATTATTCCTATGAGCTACTCCATTTATTGAGCTTTTATTCGAAGTTATGTTTTAGTGGTCCCTATTTTCATTTGGAAGTGCTTTTCCTGTGAAAGTTGTGTTGCAGGGAAGACTACCTAATCAACTTGACAAAATAATAGCGGCTTCTGGGAATAAAAAAATAATTCTTATAGGTTCTGGGCACAATTGCTCAACAAGGTTGCCTGAGTTCTCAAAGGAATCGTTATTTAATATTTATGTCTTGGAATTTATCTTAAGCCAAAGGGGATTTTCTGATTGCAAGAACTGATCAGGCGGGATGAAAGCAGAAACCGCGGTGGAGTGTCATTTATGTTCGTCGTGTTAGTGGGATTATTGGGGATATTATTGGGGATATCGTTGAGATACCTCTTGAAGAAGATGTAAAGTCATGGTGGAAACAACAGCTCATCCATCCTCCCTGAACATAAAATCATGTTTTGAACATCATCATCCTCCTTATATCGCATTCAAAAAATTATGAATGGATAACCGAAATAAGGGAAATGCTCCGATGAACAGGGTTCATTTGTTAAATAGTTCTGTTATTAGCCAAAACAATCTTGTGTTTTTAAATCAGGCTATTTGGTGGTTGCCTTTTTCCATATTAACATGAATTTGTAATGTAAAAAGTCTTCTTTTCCTTTTTTTTTTTGTAATCTTTTTTGTTCTTCCCTTCTTGGAGATTCTATATTAGACACTCGCTATTATAGTATTGTCAATACATTTTTCTTCTTTTTATAACTAATTTTTATACAGAAACCAAATATCTTTACCTTGAGGAATGGTGACCACCTGTTCCTACCGAATTCAGTGCACGTTACCGTATGAGCAAGGACACTTCAGTAGGGGTCGAAATTAGGGTGGGTGTCGTTACTCGCCCTACATTTGTGGTTAACCACATCCATAAGTATAGAATTATGCTACCCACAACCTGTATAGTAGTGGATAGTGGTTAATCAATATCCATTGCGAGTTGGTGCAGGTTCGATGTGGACACCCACAAAAGTTTCATTATTGAATATAGTTTATGGTAATTAAATATTAATGTTGTGTTTCTTCTTACACAAAAATAAAAATCTACATAAGCTGATAAAATAAAGTTAATAAAGTGTTAAATAAACTATAAACTATATTTATTGACTTGATTTTGTTATAAAATAAACATATACCATGCGGACAAAAATACATATTGTCATCAGATAAAAAAGGGAGAATGGGAAGAAAGAGAAAAGTTGAATATGCAAAATTTTGTAATGAAAGTAGAAATGGAAATACAATGGGATATTGTCTTCCAACTAAGACGAATTGATCAATTAAAAACATATGAACTAACTATCCGTAATCACCAATAATGAATACCACAAATAATACTTACAAATCATGTAAAGACTATATAAATATTTCAAATAATTTAACATATAAATATTAATCAACATAATTAATAAAAAATAAAACAAAATTCATCCGACCAACGGGTCGGGTAAAAGCTAGTGATCACATAGATCCAAAAACAAGACCACATTTATGGCTGAAATGGTCTTTGGATTCCCTGCCTTGAAAATGACTACTAGTTTGTGAATTTCCGATCCACAGTGTCTGTAGGACTATTAACACCATAAATCCTTTCTTGGGGGCGGTCGGGTTCTTGATAAGCATGTACGGTGTTTGCCCACATCAGCAAGAGTACTTCATCTCATCTCTGCTAATTTATCTATCTGCAGATATCCGTGAAACGAGACTGTATCCACGGCCATGCATGTGCCCCGTGTTGGATGAGTCTCCACGACATCGTTTCACGTTGTGTCCAATGCTCCCTACCATCGTTTCAAGACTACTCAGTGCCGTTCGCTTCTGTCGTCTCTCCAAGTCAATCGAAGAACATCGATTTTTCAAGATCTTCCTTTCTCCCTTTCCGCTTCACCTTTTTCTCGCTCACAGGTCGGATTATCACTCATGGCTAGGTCGTGTAGATTTCTATTAGAAAACGATCACTTGCTTCCTCTCTATTTACGCCGCACTCAGCTGATTGTAAGAACTTGACAGTTTTACAGAGAGATTAGGTTGATAGGGATCTTCTGTATTGAGTCCAGTTTTCTTCTTCACTGGCTCGATTCATTGTGGGTTTTGAATCGAGCTAGAGAAGTTGATTAGTAAATTGTTTTGTTGGCATTTAAGAAAAAATTATTGTCTGATTCCTTCTTAGGGTTTGATGAGAGATCACTGGAAATTCTTCGCTGTAAATTATCCACTCATCGCAAAATGCAAACAAGCGAGTCGTATAGTAGAATCAAAGTACAGTCGCTTATGAAAACCTCAAGTTAGGGACTCCATATTTGCGATCTCATATATTGTCTACTGGTCCAATACCTAGTGGCATAGCCAGTATTTTGTCGAGAGTAGGTCAATTTAGAAAAAAAAATACATATGATAAAATAGATTTGTTAGATTGTTAAATAATTAATGATATAATTTTATATTTACAAAAATTTGGTAAATAAAATATATGTCAAAACTATCAAGATTATCACTCTATATGTATCAAATAATTATTCATGATTTCGTTACACATTTGCTTTTGAATGGTCTTCTTTGTCAAGACCATTTGTATCAATAACTCAAGTTGTTGGAGATGATTTCATAATGGAACTTATACAATTTAGCATTTACTAACACTTCCCCACTAACAAAAACCAACTTATACGTGCTTAAAGTTTTCAAAAATCCGAATATCATCTGATTAACAAATGGGGTGGCCAAGATTCGAACACATTATCTCTCGGTCAACCATTCTCAATTAGAAGTGCTCTAAATTTCATTCTCAATTAACTATTATACTAATTAAATCATTTTTGTCCTTAACAACCACCTGATACACTCTCCCTACCCCTAATTGAAATAAAATTATTTTTACAAATTAACTATGATTTGTTGCAAATTTGTTGAAGATATTGAATAAACACATCTTTGATTTTGGGCGGATCATATGCATCATTGTCCTTTGTATATAACTCATTGTACAAATATTGAATATGCCAATACACAATTTAGAAACCATACATCAAATATTTGAAAGATCAAACATTCTCAATTAAATACATGTTTATTTTTATACACAATTAACTATTACACCTAATTTATCATTTTTCTTCTCCAACCAGGGTGAGTCGGGGGCGGGGCCCACCTCCAACCCTCTCTCTCCACCCCTGCCAACACCTTAGTTTTTGTAACTTATGATGATTTTCTGCGGAGCCATATCTACCACACGAACCTGCTTCAAATACTAGCTAGTCTTAAGTTAATTTATTTTATCTCGACCAATTCCACATAGTAAGCACTTCGACTAGGGAAAATTTTGTAAATCTCTCCATAGTTATAACATACATCATTGATTACTCCACACATAATATGGAATGACAGTATTATTCGATGTCTTCAACTTTAGGAGTTTTGATGTGGTGACTTGCAAGTCACAGTAACATGGACAAAACAATTAATAAGACGATATTGTTACAACATGACTTAATCAGTACAAATGAAAATAATGGTTCACGTATGATGTGGTCGCATGATGACACAACCACACATTACAATTAACAATTGTCAGTTTGTTGGCCATCATTACCTTATTAGTGTTGGAATAGTTTTCCATCGGTAGAAATGTTTCATCGCTAAACAAGGACTTGTTGCCACTTAACCTGAGTTAGTAGTACCATAAACCTCTATAAATAACCATCGGTGTTATGAGTTTGTTAGTCTCTAAAACTTTTCTAAACAAATTCTTGTGATTTTGGGTTGACACACATCAAAGATATTTGTTGGTGCAATATATTTAGATCAACAAGTCGACCACCGGTGGATGCATAAGGTTTTGACCATGCACCACATCAACAATACGAGAAGGATTGGGATGATGAAAGCATATCGAGCTCAGAAAGTTGAGAACCACTATATGCACTGATCTCCATCGCTGATTTTCAAAACAATTACAAGTCCGATGATTTGGAGGTCACCATATGCATACCCTTACCTTATTATATTGATAACTAACACATGTCCGAATTACATGGCCTAATTACTGGGTCCAGATCGGGTGAGTAACTGATGGGTCAGTAATCAATCAGTAACCCTTCCCTGGTCCCCACGTGTCAGTCACTTTTTTATTTAAATTAAATGTGAAAAGGGCAGTGCGGTAAAATTGCACTTATTCCTATTTATTGTTGATGTTGACTTTTGACCGGACCACATTAGCGCCTCATTCTCTCTCCTCGCAAAACATTTATTTTTCCTTCTCTTAATTTTTAATGGACGATTTCTCACTCGTTTTAAGTCGAAATTTAATTTTTTTGCACAGCTAGATCAGATTAATTGTGCTCTTCAAAATGATATCCACTTTGATATTTTTTGGACACAAAAAAATTTGTCAGTTATTACCAGTCTATACCATATGGTATTGACTGGTATTAAATAAGAGCATACCATATGGTATGAAATTTTTTGTCACATGAATATATATTTCATTACCATATGGTATAGTGTGGTAATATCAATATATATTTCATTACCACCCAATACCATATGGTATAGTGTGGTAATATCAATGTATATTTCGTTACCACCCAATACGATATGGTATAGTTTGGTAATATCAATATATATTTCGTTACCACCAAATACTATATGATATAGAGTGGTAATATCATATGGTATAGAGTGGTAATACCAATATATATTTCGTTACCACCCAATACCATATGGCATAGTGGTATACCAATATATATTTCGTTACCACATAATACCAATATATATTTCGTTACCACATAATACCATATGGTATAGTTTGGTAATACCAATATATATTACCTAAAAGAAAGGGGAAAAAACAAAAGGAGGGAGAAAAAAAACTTGTCTTCTGTCTCATCTCATTTCATCCGCAACCAAAGAACACCAAACGCCAAAAAAGAAGAAAGATCGAAATTAAAGCCAATGAGTTGATGAAGAGAAGGAACGCAATTAAAGAGGGTGACTTCAATTTTTATTCGTCGATTGCTAGAGAGAAAAAAATGAAGATGGAAGAGAGCAGATCTAGATTTGAAAAGGAGATTGTGAGAGAAAAAGTGAGAGAGAAGGAATAGAGAAAGAGAAAGGATCTGGAAAGAGATTGGGAAAAAGGAAGAGAGAAGGAAAAGAGAAGGAAGAAAGTAGAGTTGCAGAGAGTAGGTCATTCTCTCTCTTTTATTGAAAAGCCAGCCATTGAAATGCGGAATAAATAAATAAAAAAATACAAAAACAGACAAAAATGTCCATCCCCACCCCCGCGACCAGCCAACCACACGATTGCTCCATCCCCCAGATCTACGACTCCCGTGTGGTTACTGATAGGTCAGTAACCAGTGGTTACTGACCCTATCCCAAGCCCTAATTACTTATGTAGAAACTGGGTAGCTCTATTAGTACGGTAATGTCCGGGTTGGGCCAAACCCGCACATATTTATTTTTGGGTATCCTCCCCAAAAGGCTTCAGACTAATTGAGCTAGGTGGGCACTACTATACAAAGATCTCTATCTTCCTCGTATTTCCGACGTGGTACTTGGATTGTTCCATAACAATCCTTCATTCAAGACAAGGACCATGGACATCGTGTCATTCTCAACAATTATCTTGATCCACTAGACCAGATGTAGATCACCTTTGATCTACCAAACAAACGTGTACCTTCGTTGATACTCCAAACAAACATAAATCTCAAATCCCAAGGTCATTGAACGAGGGTCCACGGAACTGACGTCCACCGCCGTTGATCGAATCTGAACCAGACTTTGATACAACTTTTCAAGACAAGGTAGCTCCATTAGTTCGTTGTTGTACGCCTTCATTCAAGCCCGTACAAATTTACTTTTGGGTATCCTCCCCAAAAAGCATGGTACAAATGAGCTTGGTGGACATTAATATACAATGGTCATTTTTAGAAATAAACCATCCATAGATGAATTCTACATTGCTTTCACAAATTCAACACTGCAATTCAATACCCAATATTGGAATTAGTGATATTTGGGTTGAGATTTTATAATTATCCTCCATTTATAAGGTAAGCATAAATTAATTTAGATATTGAACTCGAATAAAATAATTAAAATTTGAAAAAAAATCAAACACCAAAAAAATAGTCAATGGGGAGTTAGTGTGCTAGTTAATCCACATTAGAAAGTCACTTGTTTTATCTTTTAAGAGACAATGGTTCAAATTAAAAAACTTATCCATTTTTTTATGAATAAGAAAAATACAAATAGACATGAAGAAAAATTTAAACTTTTTACTTAATATGAAATTTAAAATACTGAAAAATTACTCGCAAGTAGGGATGACAATGAGTAGGGTCGGGTGCGGGTTACCCTATACCAACTCCTAACCCGTCGGGTAGAGCCTTCTAAAATACCCAACCAAATAACCACCGGGTATGAAAATGATATAACCATAACCTACCTATCGGGTAACCACGGGTTTTTTGGGTAACCATGGGTACGAATCCTAAAATATGAACTTATACACATATATGCACATACATACTATTATCCATTCAAAATTCTCAATACTTGTAACTGTTCTAGCATCAACAATCCACACAAATAAAAACAGCAAACACATAATAATTTTTCTTGCTTCTACAATCCACATAAACAAAAACAAAATCATCATATTTGTTCTAGTTTCAACAATCCACACATAAACAAAAACATCAAAGACAATATTAGAACCAGATCACATCAAATGCTCACTGCTTAACTTATGCTTCATGTCATCCATCAAGGCATCATTAGTAGAACAATTATCCAAGGTAATCGTAGATACCTTTGTGTCAATATCCCAAGCAAGTAAAGTTTATAGAAGAGCCTGAGCAAGCACCTCACTTGTGTGTGGGCAAGGAAAATCGACTGATGGGTAGGGTTAGGGCTAGGGAAATTGACCCTTTGGTTAGCGGGGCGGGTATAACAAGGCGGGTATTATCGATTACCATACTCGTATCCTACCCTTTATTTTGAAACCGGGTATTACCCGTACCCGCCCCTTAACCCATCAAAGCGGATAATTACCCTCATTGACCGGTTACGATCGGATAGGGTACCCATGGTTACGAGTTGGATTCACATCCTACTCGAAGTCTGTTATATTATACATTTTGTCTGGTTTGCTAATTATATTGCACTTAGGTGCAAATCTTGACTACCCGCCACGCTTGCAACTTGCGAGCATTAATTCATCGGGGGTAATTACTTCAAACATCCGGGGCAAATCAGGAACTAAGAAAAAAGAGAAGCATGGATTCGCATTCACGTAAGTAGTTTTGCATTGGAAAAGAAAAGCCAAACAAACAACGGTCACCAGGCCGAGTGCACAACTACAGACACATTTCCTCCAAAGCTGCGAGAAGAGAGCGAGCGAGCGAGAGACCGAAGGAAAAGGAAAAAAAAGTTTCCCCGAGAAAGTGGAATCGCAGGAAAAATTGGCAAATCACGCTTGCAGGAGAGAAGGAATTCGATGCCGTCGTCGTTTCTTCCGATTCACATTCCGCCATTCTGCAATCTCTGGCTCCGCTGCAGCAACAGCGTCCCGATGTGACCACCTTTCCGTACAGTCTTTGTTTCTAGCTGCCGAATCTGCCTCCACCATTCCGATCGAAGAAAGCAAAACGCGAATGACATGGTTTTAACGTTCCGCGTGAGACGGAGAAAGGAAATCGCGAAAGCGCCCGCCGATTGTTCATTCCGGCTGGAGATTGGATCGTTCTAGCATCGCAATTGACCGGAATTGAGGAACGATTCGTAAATGTGCTCGCTCACATTGCACATTCGGAGACTCTAGGGTTTGCAGACTCTGGCCGCGGATCAATCTGATCGAATTTGCAATCGACAATGGTATACCCTTTCTGTTCCCTTCCTGCATTTCCTGCATGTGTAACATAATTTGGTTATTTCGTCCTTGATCAGCTTTCCCCGCGGATCACCGTTGAGTTATTTGTGAAGAAATTGAAAGATTGAGATATATGCGTACATGATTGCAATTGCATGTTTGCCTGAATTACGCTTATAGAGTTCGAGTAAAACATCCGAGAGCTCCTGGCTCATAATTGGTTATGCTTGTGTGTGAATCAAGAGGCTTCCTCTGTTGCCTATGCTGAAATATCCTATTGCTTTGCAGGCTGCATCAGTGAATTTTGCAGTGGGATCACTAGTCTGGATAGAGGATCCTGATGTGTCTTGGATAGATGGGCAAGTTTTGGCGATCACTGGCGATGAACTTAAAGTCCAATGTACATCAGACAAGACAGTGAGTGCTTAAGGATAACTTTCCTTTCTTCACTACTGCAAAGTAGGAAAAAGAAAATTCACATTTTTTCCAATCCAAATGTCATCAGATTAATATCAAACCCTTTAATCACTTCGTCTAATACAGCCAATGACTTGTGCTAACTTACTGGTGGACTGTGCTTTAACATGGCCCAGAATTCTGGTCGTTGTTGATGGGATAATGGCAAATATTATTTATTCCCTGGTTGTCTCTTTTTATTTACGTCTGAAAGAGTTATATGGACTTAAAACTTTGAGTTTTTGTGTTATGCAAGGTTGTTGTTAAAGCATCTAGTGTGTATCCCAAGGATCCAGAGTTCCCATCATGCGGTGTCGATGACATGACAAAGCTTGCATATTTGAATGAACCAGGAGTGCTGCAGAATCTAAAAGTTAGATACGACATAAATGAGATCTATGTAAGTTTATAGATCGCACGCTCTTTCTCTTGAACGTTTGGTAGTTATTCCACAAAGTAGGTTGCTGAGTTCAATTTAGGTACTTATATCAGTTGGATACTGAGACTTTCATATTAGCCATGAATGGTCTAGTTCAATTTTTTTTTAGTTCTGGTTTATCGAGCTAAATTCCCATAATGGTTACAGACTTACACAGGAAACATATTGATCGCTGTGAATCCTTTCCGGAGGCTTCCTCATCTCTATGATGGTCATATGATGGAGCAATATAAAGGGGCTGCTATTGGTGAGCTGAGTCCACATCCCTTCGCCGTTGCAGATGCAGCATACAGGTAACTTACACTGATGCTTCTCTTTCAGGTTCCATTATTGATTGCTTTAAAGTCTTATTGTGAACTCAGAAGAAATCTGAACTTGGCAGACAGATGATCAATGATCAAATAAGCCAGTCCATCTTGGTTAGTGGGGAAAGTGGAGCCGGTAAAACAGAGAGTACTAAGAGTCTTATGCGTTATTTGGCCTTTATGGGTGGGAGATCTGGGAATGAAGGACAATCTGTGGAGCAAAAAGTTTTAGAGGTGAGTAGTTGCAATGCATAATGCCTTGAGTAATGATGCCTCCTCTGTTGGATACAACTCTTGTTTCCATGATTTTGTTTCTAGGAAATGAGTCTTACCTGAAGCAGATGACCTCAGTTTCAACTTTTACCCTTTTGTTTGACAGTCCAATCCTGTTCTTGAAGCATTTGGGAATGCAAAGACCGTCAGGAATAATAACTCAAGGTGGTAAACTTTGGTTAAAACATTAAATTCCTGAGTATATTTTAATTATTTGCATCAATTAATGACTTCATGAAATGATGCAACTGCAGTCGTTTTGGGAAATTTGTCGAGCTCCAGTTTGATGACAGGGGTAGGATTTCAGGAGCTGCCATCAGAACATATTTGCTGGAGCGTTCTCGTGTTTGTCAAGTTTCTAGTCCTGAGAGAAATTATCACTGCTTTTACATGCTCTGTGCTGCTCCCCCAGAGGTAAAAGAAAACTAATGGTGCCGCACATTAGCTTTGATTCCTTGAGAGGGTGAATCACATACAAATGGTTGGTTGATATTGAGTGTAGGCTCATAGTCACATTTGTCATAGTTTTGCTTTTTAAGAGAGGAATTAGGTGGTAGTTCGAAATCGTACAGTGCTTCAGCATTGTGGACTTTCCATACCCTGCTATTTTCTGCTGAAGGTCTTCCCTTTTCTATTATCAAATGGTCAGTGGATAACATTCAAGTCTTTGCTGTTTGATGCAACAAGCTCAAGGTTCAGTTACCTGTCCAGTTTAGTGATTCTTACCTAACAATGCTGAGCCAGGGAATGCTCTTCTTTTTCTCTTATGTTGAAATAAGTTCTTTGGCAGTCTATCTGTTTGGCTAGAAGTTTATAGCATATATGCTCAGTTTCGCTTATCCAATTACTTTTGGGTAGCTTCTGTTCGAAAAGATATTTTTCTCCACATGATCTCAGTATAGCAACGGAAACCTAACTCTTGAAACTGCAAACCCTAGATAGGGCATCTTTGATATCTAGCTTCTAATGTTGATCCTGTCCGTTTTACAATCCCAGTAGTATATATATACTATTCAACATGCTTCTGCACGCAAGTTCTTAACTGCCACACACATCAATGTGTTGCAGACGAATGCTATGTGGCCTTGATATTGAAACACGTTGTAGAAGAAAACAATAAATACTACGTAGTCCCCTCTTCACATCCGAAGATCACATCATCTTAACGTTGACAATCACAATTTCCAATTTCTTCTCCTTACATGTTTATTAGATAATGGCGACTGGGATTTATTAAAAGGAAGCACAAGAGCAAGCACAATTTCCAATTTCTTCTCCTTACATGTTACAATTAGTTAGCAGTACCTCACAGGCACAGAGGCACTCCTGTGCTTGCTCTTGTTCCTTAATTTACCAAGCAAACCTCAAATTGTTCTGAATATATTCTCTGTGCTTAATGCAAGTTGTAGTTGCAATTCAGCCGTTGAGTTCCTTCCTTACTGTCCTATTTTCAGGATATAAAGAAGTTCAAAGTGGGAAGTGCTAGGTCATTCCGTTATCTAAATCAATCAGAATGCATCGAGTTGGATGGACTAGATGACCCAAAGGAGTATCTTGTGACCAGAAAAGCTATGGATGTTGTTGGGATAAGTGCTGAAGAGCAGGTACTGTCTTTGATGGTTCTCAGTGTTGTTATAGAGAAACCGTTGCCTAAAGCTTTGTGTTACAGGATGCAATATTCAGAGTTGTCGCTGCAGTACTACATCTAGGAAACATAGTATTTGCAAAAGGAAGTGAACCTGATTCTTCCGAACCTAAGGATGATGATGCTCGTAAGCATCTCAAGATAGCAGCAGAACTTTTCATGTAACTGATAACTAGTCTTGACTTTAATTGACTGTTTTGGTTCGTCTCTATAATTATATTTTGCTAATTGAATTAGATAACCTGCTGATTTTTACAGGTGTGATGAAAAGGGTCTCGAGGATTCCCTATGCAAACGTGTAATTGTGACCCGTGATGATGTGATAATGAAGGTTCTCGATCCTGTAGCTGCCACTATCAATAGAGATGCTCTGGCGAAAATTGTTTATTCAAGGCTTTTTGATTGGTATGCTGCAATGTACTGAATACTTTTATTTGCCTGATTTATACTTTTCTCTATCTTTCACATTCGTTTTTCTACTTCCACTTTCAGTGCCTTTCCTGCATTTATTCTCTTACATTATCTTTTCTTTTTACAAGAAACTACCTCTCTTACATTATCTGATGTCAAATGTTCTTTTGTCACAGGCTGGTGAACAAGATCAATAGCTCTATTGGTCAAGATCCTGATTCAAAATCTTTAATTGGGGTTCTGGACATATATGGGTTTGAGAGTTTCAAGACAAACAGGTGCTTAACCGGTACGCCTTTTGTTTTCATCATATAAGAAGTTGCATGCACCAACATAATTTTTCATAATGATGTGCTGGAATTTGATGTTAACGATTTGCCTTTTGGTGATATATCGTCCATTAAAGGGTTCAATGTAAATCATTTAAGGAACATCCTGCCAGCGGTGCCCTCACTTATGGGCTTGCTCGGGTCCTTCGTTTCAAATGAATTTGTTGCGTTTATGTGTTTCGTGATTTTCCTTCTACTTATATATCACTGTTTACTGTTCTCTTTTTATTTATTTATTTATTTATTTATTTATTTATTTATTTATGAAGGCACTGTTTTGTTATCTCATGTGACTTCAGTTTGTTTCTTATTTTATCTGTGTTTTCACCAAGTTCCTTCACATTGCAGTTTTGAGCAGTTTTGTATAAATTTAACCAATGAAAAGTTGCAGCAGCACTTCAACCAGGTTTGTTGGAAAAGCTCAGTTCATTTGTCCACATAAAAACTGCTGCAGTATTCTGTACCACACCATTTCAAATTGAAGATCTAAATATTGCCTGCTGATTTATTTCAATTATATTTTTTTGACAGCACGTGTTCAAGATGGAGCAAGAAGAATACACCAAAGAACAGATCGACTGGAGCTATATAGAATTCATTGACAACCAGGATGTTCTTGATCTAATTGAAAAGGTTTGGCACATACTACGCTGCCAACTTTACTTGAAACCTGCAAGATTCTCAGCTACTTGATAAAGTGATCATGTTGGAAGGCTACTATAGTCCTTATTAAGAACACCATTTGATTCTGTGTGATATATAGCCATATAGATGACTTTGTATTTCAAATAATTATTTTTTGTTATTAACTTTTAGAATTGAGTGAAGCAATCTTATTCAAATATTGCATTAGTTATTGATCATAGAGTTATATTTGCTTGTATGATTAAGTTGCAGCAGTTTCCTGATTTTGTATAACCAGTGTTCTTCTGTCTTGTCGGATTGTCTTTCATTTTCTTGAGTTCATAAACTAAGATGCATCAGATGTTCTAACCTATGTATAACAGTGTTCTGTCTTGTCGGATTGCCTTTCATTTTCTTGAGTTCATAACTAAGATGCATCAGATGTTTCTAACCTATGTTATACCACTAGGAAAACCCCCAAGCTCTCCAATACTTTGTATAACTGGAATTTCTAAAATGTTAGCGCACGATTATCCAGTTTCTTCTTTCTAATATGATTTTTACCTCTCTTCTCTAGAAACCTGGTGGTATCCTTGCTCTTCTTGACGAGGCCTGGTATGTATTGGAGAATGTGGTTGAAATGAATGTTTTACATACTTCTATAACTCCATCTTTTTCTTCCTCGTGTTATGATGACAACTATCATTTTTTTTTTGTTTGTCTCTCTAGTATGTTTCCTAAATCAACAAATGAAACATTTGCGACAAAGCTTTACCAGACATTTAAGGATCACAAACGCTTTAGCAAGCCTAAGTTGGCACGTAATGACTTCACTGTTTGTCATTATGCTGGCGATGTAAGTATCGTATTGTTTCCGATAAAAGAAACTAATGCATCAGTGATGTTTGTTCTTCCCATGGAACTAACATTTAGATTATAGCTTTCTTCTTATGGGGATTTTCTCTATGGCAGGTAACATACCAAACTGAATTCTTTCTGGATAAAAACAAAGACTATGTAGTTGCTGAACATCAAGCTCTCCTCAGTGCGTCTAAATGCTCCTTTGTGTCAAGCCTGTTCCCCCCATTACCGGAGGAATCTTCTAAATCATCGAAGTTTTCATCAATTGGTGCTCGATTTAAGGTAGGTTTATGTTTACTGGAACCAGAGTTAAATACATATGATAAATTTTGCCTTTATTACAACGTATTGTTCTTTAATTCCTCTATGCTGTACAGCAACAACTGCAATCTCTGCTTGAGACATTAAATGCCACGGAGCCACATTATATCCGTTGTGTAAAGCCAAACAATGCTCTAAAGCCAGCCATATTTGAGAATGCCAATGTCCTACAGCAGCTACGTTGTGGAGTAAGATAATTGATCACTTTGTTTTTTGTGGATACCTGTCAGCATTTTTTTAAAATTTTTGTGGAGTAAGATTATCTGAAGGGGATTCCCCTTGTTCTCCCATTCTAGGGAGTAATGGAGGCAATCAGGATTAGTTGCGCTGGGTATCCGACTAGAAAGCATTTTAATGAGTTCATCGCTCGTTTTGGGATTCTGGCAACAAATGTTTCAAATTTGAGGTACAGTCTGCTGCTGCTATTTTATGACTCATCTGACGATGATGGACATTAGCTCTGCTATGCGTCTCTTCTGAGTACTTGTATTGTTTTCTTTTACTGTGTATTCCTTGATAGCTGCGATGAGGTAACTGCTTGCAAGAAGATTCTAGAGAAGGTGAAACTTGAAGGTTATCAGGTAGATCTGAATCCTTTGGCCTTTGGTCCTATAATTAAAATGCTATCTTCGAACCTCTCAGTATTCAATAATTTGGAATGAAGTGGCTTTTTGATGAGATCCTGCCAACTTTTGAGTTGATTTACTCATGTGTTCACCTATATTTTGCATATCTGCATGCAACTGTTTTTAGTCATTCTTTTTTACATTGCCTAAATTGCTTTCCACTGTTTAGAGTTATGTCCAGATGAAAATGGTTTCACTTTAAGATTTAAAGAATGAGCTTGTACATGATTCACCCTGTGTATGAGTATATGCTGTTTGAAAATGATTCTTTGAATTTCTATCCTTTGTTTGCTGATGGGTTTCGAGTGCAGGTTGGTAAAACCAAAGTGTTCCTCAGAGCAGGGCAGATGGCAGAACTAGATGCTCGCCGGACTGAAGTATTAGGAAGATCAGCAACTTTCATCCAAAGAAAATTTCTGACATACTGTTGCCGCAAAAGATTTTTAATATTGCGACAATCTGCTATCGAAATTCAAAATGTTTGCAGAGGTATTAGATAGATTTCGACCACTTCATCAGATAAGATTGTGCTCTAGCTTACAAAGCTATTCATCACAGGAACTCTCTCTTCAGTGATTCCATGCTATCTAAGTTTTTGCCTTTTTGGAGCTTTTGTACAGGTCAGATGGCACGTCATCGGTTTGAATGTCTAAGAAGAGAAGACGCTTGTGTAAAGATCCAGAAGTATTGTCGAAGGTTTTTTGCAAGGAAATCTTACAACAGTATGTACTCCTCAGCAGTATGCATTCAGGCAGGTATGCGTGGAATGACTGCTCGTAGTGACCTCCTATTCAGGAGGAAGCAGAAAGCTGCAATTTTGATCCAGGTAAATTTCCAATGCCGGGAATATGCAGATTCCTGGTTCTCGTCTAATGTTTCTAGAAATGCAAATACAATCCGTGATTACTAAGTATTTGATATACAAAAACTTTGGTTTAGGGTTGATATATAAAAGCCTTGGTTTAGGGTTTATTATTCATTAAGTGTTTTTTTAATTCTTTAAATTTTAGAGAGAGTTTTCATTTGGTCCAAAATTCTTCATCCTTTCCATTGTTGACCAATTTTCCACCCGTATACTAGGGATGCGTTTTCCATTTCTAATTCTTATCTATTGACAATTTTTGGGAGTTTTTTGACTATTCAACTAGAAGTCAGTTGATCAAGCGTATTTCGATCATGCTATTACGACGATCAATTTTTCCTTTTTGAACTCTTATTGATTGACCATCTTTGTGAGTTTTCCTAGTATTCAACTAGAAGCCTGATCACACATATTCTGGGATATGTTTTTCATTTTGAATCCTTACGACTGAAAATCTTTAAGATTTTTGTGGCTATTCAAATAAATATTTTGTTTTTGCAGTCCAATTTTAGAATTTGGTGGGTTGTCCATTGTGTCTAATGTACTCTCATAGCTCATAAGTATAGTCTTTTAATGAGAGTTTAACTCACTAGTTTCAACTTGATCGTATGTGACTGAACACAAACTTTCTTGAACTGGTCTTATGTTAATATTGTTTCATATAATGATTCACACGATCGGAAAATCGTATTATGTGAGTTTTGATTTATTGTTTTACAAATTACTTCCTATTTACAAAAGCACAAACCTTAATTAAACAAGATTGGACACCCATGCGGAGCGCGGACTTTCGACCTAGTATTGATAAAAAGAGAAAAAGGTGGTCATGCTCTCGTTTTGTTGGCACAGGTTTTGGTTCTAATCTACTATGGTTGGTAAATCCTGTGGGTGTTTTGATTTCATTGCTTGTTGTTTTTTTGTCCTGATACTTGGTGTTGTCTAGATAATCCAAACTGTATGACTTTCTGGGTTCGGGTTCTTGATTTCATGGTAGATTGCTAACAAGCCAGAAGTGTTAGTAACAAAAATGGCTATTAGCATTATTCTGTGAGGACTTTCTTCTTCAAGTTTGGTGAACTGGGAATGCTGTTCAATTCTGTTCATTTCTCATTGAACTTGATTCTTTCCAGAGTCAATGCAGAAGGCATTTGGCACGGCTTCACTATTTGAAGATGAAGAGGTCTGCAATTGTCATGCAGTGTGCCTGGAGAGGCAAAGTCGCACGTCGAGAACTACGGAAGCTTCGTATGGTCAGTTCCTCTTTCTTGTTGTTTATTTCCTTCTTCCTATTGAAAAGTATTTTGCTTTCCAATGATTCACAGTTAAGTTTATCTTCTTGCATTAGTAGTCATGCATGGTCAGTTCCTCTTTCTTCCCCTTTTCTTACTGTTTTTCCCCCCTTGAGAAGTGCTTTGCTTTCCCCCATGGTTCACAGTTAAGTTCATCTTCTCGCATTATTAGTTATGCATGTTTTAGATTGCTCTACCAACCAAATTCCCTATTGTATTTGGCCGTGGCAAGGGTTCTATTGCTCAAATTCAGCTGTTCAGCACCAGTCTACATGAGATCCCAAGCTCATGAAAATCCAAAATCTTCTTATGTATCATATTTCTCTGTAGTTATAAAGTCGTCAGATTTACTTTGTATTCTTATATTTCCTGTTAACAGGCTGCTAAGGAAACTGGTGCTCTTCAAGAAGCTAAAAGCAAGCTAGAAAAGGAAGTGGAAGAACTAACCTGGCGCTTGCAGCTTGAGAAACGTATTAGGGTAGGCTGGTTATTTTGTTTTCTCCAGTTCTAAATAGTTTTTCTTTATGAATTATAACCCCCTTCCACATTTCAGGATGGTAAATTTATCTTACACCAGAAACCAGTACCCAGACAATGCACTTTTTCTGTTCTTGTGTACTTTGGAAATGAGTTTATCTTTCCTATGATTGATTCTTCTGACAGCTATGGCTATTGACTAGCTATGCCTGTAGGCTGATCTTGTAAATTTATCTTCCTATGTTTGTGTTCTCTGTTTAAACTTCTATGTTCTCTGTTTGATGTTGCTTGTATTTTGCTGTTGGCATCACCTGTAGGCTGATCTTGAGGAAGCCAAAACACAAGAAATTGGAAAACTACAGTCTGCTTTAAAAGAGCTGCAACTTGAATTCCAAGAAACTAAAGACAAACTTACCAAGGAGTGCGAGGCTGCTAAGAAAGAAGCTGAGCGGGTCCCAGAAGTACAGGAGGTTCCAGTTGTTGACCACGAACTGGTGAATAAGCTCACTGAAGAGAATGAAACTCTCAAGGTGAAGTACTATGTATATTTTATTGCATGTTATCTAAGGATTTTTTAACAAACAAATAATTTACCTAGATACAAATATCATTCTAAATGAGATTAGGAATTGTCCGCTAAAACGACAATATTACTTCTTGCAGGCTACGGTAAGTGAATTAGAAAAGAAAATTGAGGAGACAGAGAAGAAGTACGAGGAGACGAGTAAGCTTTGTGAAGAAAGGATGCAGGAGAGTAAAGATGCGGAAGCCAAGATTGTTGAGTTGAAAGCAACCATGCAGAGGTTGCTACTTGTTCTATTTGTCTGGATATGTCTTAAGCTGCACACTATTTAGTGTATGATGTATCCCGTTTCTTTTTCCCAGTCTTGAAGGAAAACTTGTGGAAATGGAAGCTCAAGCAGAAGCTTTGAGGAAGAAAGCGCTGTCCAACTCATCTCAGGTTACTAGCTCTAATCTAAAACACATACCAAGGAAAAAATAGTTTTCGTTACTCCTTATTAGAGAGACTTAAGGTACTCATTCTTCTGTTTCTTGTTGATGTTGCAGCCTCTGGAAAATGGTCATGATGGAAACGAACAAAAGCTTGCTTCTGATTCATATGAAAAATTAAGGAAATCTCAGATTGAAAGGCTACATGTATGTATTATTCAAGGGGGAAACAGATTCGCATATGCTAATTTTCTTTCACTTTTATTGACTTGAAAATCCATTAATCATCTTTTATTCATATATATTTCCTGGATCTTAATACAGCTGAATGTAGATGTTTTAATCACATGCGTGGAGAAAAATATTGGATTTTGCGAAGGAAAACCGGTGGCAGCAATCACCGTTTACAGGTGCCTTGTCCAATGGAGTGCATTCGAGGCAGAAAAAACAAGTGTCTTTGATCGGCTTATACAGACAATTGGAACTGCGTTTGAGGTAAATCCATCTCGGCCACTTGAAATAGCATTTTGCGCGAGCCCGTTTCCTTTACGTAGTGTGATTCATATTGTCTGCGCTCCACTGTAGAATCAAGATGACAATGAACAGATGGCCTACTGGCTCTGTAATACTACAGTGCTATTGTTCTTACTTCACCGGACACTGAAAGGCAGCGGGGGGAGCCAAAATCCAGCTCCTCCAACATCATTTTTCGGGAGGATGGCTCAAGTAAACATCTACAGTCTCAATTCATTGAATTACTTAATGCATTGTTCTTACTGAAATGATTAGATGGTTCTAGTTCCAGTAACTACCATTCTTTACACGTTTATTTAGGATTGAAACTTAACACAGTGTAGTTGTGTCGTTTAAATCTTTCCAGAGTTTCCGCTCATCGGCTGCATTTACTGACGTGAAAGTTGGTAAAGATGTTATCCGTGTGGTTGAGGCCAAGTACCCAGCACTGCTTTTTAAGCAACAGCTTACAGCATATGTGGAAACAATGTATGGGATAATCCGAGACAATTTAAAAAGAGAGATACAACCGTTGCTGACTTCATGTATCCAGGTAGCCGATCCTTGGGTTTTGTTATGTACCCTGTGTTGGTTGGTAATCCACAACCACATTTTGCAATTTTATAAATAATATTAGGTAATGAACCAATTCAGGCACCCAGGCAAAAGGGAAATGCTCTAAGAGCCTCCGTGAAGTCATTTGGACAAAGTGGTCCATCTAGTAATTGGCATAGCATTGTGGACAACCTTGAAGCACTGCTATGTACATTGAAAGAAAACTATGTATGGAGCTTTTTTTTTTTGTATTATTAAATCTGTGACGTTAGCCTTTTTTCATCTGGTTCTAATTGCTATTCTGTTATTACAGGTGCCTCCATATCTTATACAGAAGGTCTTCTGTCAGATTTTTGCATATATCAACGTACAGTTGTTCAATAGGTAGCGTCCGGCTTCCAAATGAGACTCTGTTTCATACTCGATAATGGCACAGTGTTAACTGTTTTGTTCCGCACTTGCCAGCCTGCTCCTCCGTCGAGAGTGTTGCACATTCAGCAATGGGGAATTTGTGAAAGCTGGCTTGGCCGAAATGGAAACGTGGTGTGGTCAAGCACAAGAAGAGGTATAGTTTCAGATATATGTCTGAGTAAATTTCAGATTACTTGTTTGTTTCCTTTTGTGTCATGGCATATGCCATGATGTTAAAATGCTTTCATGGTTCTGAAACATTAGCATCTTTTGACGGTTAGCTTTCTTTGTGGAAAACCTGGGATTTCCTGTGCTTATGATTTTGTTGTATAGTTACTATCTTTTGGAGAATTTGGAACAGAGACCAACCAATTTGCCTGTTAGTAGTTAGAACATAAAACAAGGTGATACTGTAAGTCATGGACACTGTATTTCTTTGTTAATAGTGAGAAGGAGAAGCGACAGTGTACAAATCTTGTTTATTGGTTTATCCATTGACAGCATGGAAGTTTTGTGATCAAAGAAATTCTGCCGGGGTACTTAACGCCTTTCTAATCGTACATACTTATTTCATAGTTTGTAGGCTCGGCCTGGGATGAACTAAAGCACACAAGGCAAGCAGTTGGATTCCTGGTATGCTTCATCTTAAGTTGAATTTATGTAGCAGCACACTATCGATTATCACGTCGAGAACAACATAATGCAGCATTATTGATCAAGTTGTTCTCCGAGTTATCACACTTGAACCAGAAACGTCATATCCCATTCTAATCTGCCTGATTGTTTTGATCTCTCTTTCAGGTGATTCACCAAAAATCCAGGATTTCCTATGATGATATCGCAAATGACCTTTGCCCTGTATTCCTCTCTCTCCCTCTCTCTGACACATTCTGTTGCTTTCTCAAAGCTTTCATAAACTAACGGGCCATGGTTGGTGCTACCCCAATTGCTTAATATCAGTGTCTTAATTGCAGATATTGAGCGTTCAACAACTGTACAGAGTTTGCACGTTGTACTGGGATGACAACTACAATACACGAAGCGTCTCTCCAGATGTAAGCGCCTTAAGTTTCGCGACAGTGAATGGACGATACAGTTTGTTCTTTTTTTCCAATAATTCCGCCTGGTCCTGGGAATTTGCAGGTGATTTCCAGCATGAAAACTCTGGTAACAGACGATTCCACCAACGACCACTCATTTCTATTGGAGGACAGCACAAGGTACACAACAGGATCCACCTGTTTTCATCATTTATGACTAATAACTATGTTCATAGCACCCTGACGTAAACAACTGGTGTTTCTGGGGCAGGCTGCCTTTCTCAGTGGCAGAGATATGCAATTCCTTCCAAGAGAAGGACTTCTCTGATGTGAAGTCTCCTGAAGAACTGACCGAGAGTCCCGACTTCCAATTTTTACTGCTGGAATAAGGGGTTTGAGATTCCTCAATCAATCAATCAACTTCTTCATCAAGTTTTGCTTGCTTCCCTTCCTCTACCAGCCGTCAAGGGACACACATTCACAGTTTTGCATATCCTGCGTCTCTATGTCGCAGATGTTAATATATTTATATTTACCAGATCAAATTAGAGGACAGAAGAAGGCGCCCAGAAAACGAGAAGAACAAGAAGATAAAGGGAACCATAATTTAGGATGATTCTCTCATACGTAGTTGCCTAGCTTTGCGTATATTTCATTCGTTCGTTCATTCATTCATGCATGCAACCATAGAGGCATTCTTTCTTTGCTTTCTCCTTCTGTATTTATTTAACGATTCACATTCACTACTAGTGGGAGCTAAAAGGCTCCATTTTTGTGTAAGAGAGACTGGGCCGAGTTGGGGAAGAAGAATAATGATCATGCTATTGGTAATGGACTTTCAAGTGGACCGGGACTGCAGCTGGGCTGTGGTATGGGCTATATCGATTGGGCCAACACGCCCATCTCTGTCTAACCTTATTCGTTTTCTGTTACTTTTCTTTGTCAGAGAGAGAACGTGGCCTCTCTCTGCATTCGGTGTAAGCTCAGAGATACCAGAAAGACCGGTGGAAACAGAGTCACGGGGGAAAGGCAGATGAGAGGAGAAAAATGGTAGGGTTGGTGGGCTATAACACAACTTGTAGCTGCTTAGAACAGCATGTCAAATCAATGTAAATGCTTGTTTCTGCCCTCTGTTTGCCCACCTCGGATACCAATGGCGAGACTTGTGAAACTTGTCAGGGTGGCACATTATAAACTGATGAGCAGCGTCTTTGGCCGGCAACAGATGATTGACTTGTGGGTCTCTTTGCCTTTGGGTATGGGGGTGGGTTCCTCCTACAGTTGGATTTTGCTATTGAGCTCACAGATGTACGATTCCACGGCGCTAGGCTTCTGTCCGAGGCAGGTTCTCATAGGTTGACTGTGAGCACCATAACCGGATTGCTTGATAGAGGGGATTATTGCTTTGCGAAAACTAGTAACCAATTTGCATAGTGATCGGATAGATGCAAGTGATACATTTTCAGAATATTTTGGAAATTTGCTTACGTTTCAACATCATTCATATCGATTAGGGCCGGTTAGGGTAAGCGGTTCGAATAAGAGGTGTTGGGAATGTTAGCAGAGAATGCACATGCCAAGAAGAACCTATAACTACCACTTTCAATTAAGAACCTGAATTTTGACTATGATATCTTAGTCAGATCAAGCCCCCTGGAGTAGATAGAGAGCCTAATAATATAAGACCTGTTTGATACCCTTCGACAAAACCAACCCCCAAAAAACAAACAAAATCTCTCTCTCTCTCTCTCTCTCTCTCTCTCTCTCTCTCTCTCTCTCTCTCTCTCTCTCTCTCTCTAGAAGCTGCTCTGTCTGAGTGAACCAATATTCATTCATGTGGGGTCACATGGTGGGTAATGCCATGATTTCCATTCATTTTCACAGTCGCAGGATTCTCTCATCTCATCTCTTCCTCATATTCCCTTTGACTGAGAACTGACCAGAAATATGTAATCATATTAACAAAAACAACCACTCTCTCCACCACATTATTATTGTCTAATGATTGTGGTGCTCTCATCATTCTCCTTTCAGTTATTACCGTTATGGGAAGAGAGGGTGGGGCAGTTATATCTCCCTCCCTTCAAATACCATTGTTTAATTGCCATTTGTTTTGGCTGTAGAACCGGAGAAGTTCCTTCGATGCATATTGTAACATGCACCAGCTTTTAATCTATCAACTGATGATGTGATTCACGTCAAGAAGATCTCAATGAACAAGAAAAATAAAGGATCATTTGGTTTTGGGATTGTTTAGGTATAGGATTATTGCAATGCTTTGTGTTGTTTATAATTCATCATTTTATAGTTTTATGTATAGATAATATATTGTTTGCTTAATTTGATAGAAGCAATCATTCAAAATGATTGATTATACCATCTTAGTTTTTAAATTGTTAGCTGATTGTTCGATTATTTTCTGGCTTGTATGAAGGACTTATGTAAAATACAATAGGCATTATGTGATGGTGACATATATTATTAATAAGTGAATTGGTAAAATGAGACTTCTTACAAGCCAAATACAACAAAATGCAACCGTGATGAAAATAATACATATTGTATTCTGCATAACCATCACATAATTTGTATTGTATTTTACGTAATGCAACTTCTGAAACTTGTTAAAACAAGTTAAAAAAAATTAAATTACCTTAAAGATTGGAAGAAATCCCTATAATACATGATTGATCACAATACATTAATTTAAAATTGGAGAAACCAAAAGATCCCAAAAAATCACAAAAAAAAAAAAAAACCATTTACATGTATTAAAAGGTTTTGAAAATTTTAATTTATGGTTCATAGTTTAGGATTTAGCTATTAGGGTAATGGATGCGTTAGTTTTACTTTTGTGTTTCATCATCATACTATACAAATGTTAGTAGTTAAATTTTTTAATTTGGTGATTAACGGCTACTTTGTAATTAAGATGCATAGTATATAGGGGTGTTCAAATGATTATTATGTTAATTATCAAATCGAATAATCCAAAAATCTATTACCTGTGAAATATAATATCATAACCAAACCGTCCAAACTAATACAACAAACAAATTAACCAAACTAATATTTAATTGAGTTGGTTAATTGATTAACTGGGTCAACCAATATAACACAACAAATATTAGTTTGGTTAATTGATTAACTAGGCTAACCAATATACACAACATTTCATTACGTGAGAAAAATCTCATGTTAATGCATCATTCCATAATTTATATAATGAATAAAATATAACATTCATTAATGTGTCTAAAAGTGAGAAGCACCCAACTTCTGAGTGTTCATGCAAAATATGTATAAATAATATATTTAAAGTTAGAAATATGATTCACTGCTTAACTTATTAATTGGTTTAGTTGGTTAGGACTTAGGAGTGTGTGAAACCAAACCGAACCGAACAATACAAACTAAACAAACTAAAAGTTTAACCTAACCAAAAGAATTATCCATATAAACCAAACCAAATTATCCGAATACCATCCGTTAAAATAATTACTACGATAACCACTCCATTTCAACACGCTAATCGTATATATGCACTCATTGGCACCGTAGAAGCGACATGGTGGTAAAATATAGGCTTGATCATTGTCATGTCAGCTTCATATAGGGATGTCAATGGGTCGGGTTGGGTCGGGTTTTGCCAAACCCAAACCCATGGGTTTATCTTTGAAAAAAACTCGGGGTAAAACCCACTGGGTTTGAAAAACTCAAACCCAACCCGTTAGGTATCCGCGAGTTCATGGGTACCCACGGGTTTTGTCGTAAAAAATTTACAATTACAAGTTCTTATCAAAATTAAAGTCAAATATCAATCTCTCAATACAAATTATCTATATATAAAACACCATTCTAGAAAATTCAAGCAAATCACAAATTAACTATGCAAATTGTTCAACACCAATCTAGAAAACTCAAGAAAATTGAAGCAAATCACAAATTATCCATAAATAACATGTTTAATTGAAAGCTTCTTCCTTTCAATTAAGTTTCTTTACTCTCCAGTCCATAACATCAACTTCATTCTACACAATTAAAAAGAAAAAATTAGACATGTCTCCACAAACATAAATAAGATTAGTTGTTTAGAATATTAAATATACCGCAAAAAATTAATTATATGGGTGGGCGGGTACCCACGGGCCGGGTTTACCTAAACCCAAACTCAACCCAACCCGGTGAATAGTGAACGGGTTTAAACCCAAACCCGACCCAAAACCCATCAACACGGATTTTACCCGTGTTGACCGGATTGGGTGGGTACCCGTGGGTTCGGATTTTGTTGCCATCCCTAGCTTCATATAGATCGAGAATCCAATTAAGTGAATCTAGCTCCCTATCTATATGCACAAATCCATAGACTCCACCTCTTTAGTTACCTACTACTTATTTAACCCCCATTTCCCCCAAAAGCACGATTTAATAAATTGTAATAATAGGCCACGAAACAACTACATGGATCTCGATAATTCAAAACCCAGAAAACAATTCATGTTTATATATTATTAATTAATTAATAGAAACTAGCCGCGGCCCCATGATCATACTTTACCTATATTCAATTACCAAATCGGAATATGATATGTGAAGAAGATTGAAGAGCCGGCCAAGTGCAACCCCCAGCCAGCAGCAGCAGCGGCGACGGTATTTCTCGTAACCGACCTTATCGGAGATCGCGTCACATTAACATGTGTAAAGCTTCTCCTTTCCTGCTTAAGCAGTTAGTATCAAAGCATAGGTGAAAGGTTCTTTTACGAGGGTGATATCGATTTACTTTTTATTGTTGTGTGCTACCTAAAGAATTCGAATATGAGACTCTCAAATTGACGACGAGCAAAACAGAATTGCTAGACAATGTCCTTGTTTGCCAAAACAGGTCATCAAGAGTTTATCATGTACAAATCAAAATGAGCCTACCTACGTATGCCTCAACGCGTACGACAATCTCCAGAACTAATGCATTTCAATAACTCGAGTTGTAGGAACGCGTTCATGCATGATATGATGGTTTTATATTATTCTCTTACGTGCTCCCTCTAGCGTTGAACGTCCTAACTTTAACACTATGTCAAGAACCAATTGCTGCGGTGAAAATAACAAGCTCAAGAGTCATCGTTCACACTCACTGGGTCGGACCAAGAGTGTTGGTTCACACGACCCAGACCGGATCAGGAGGTCGACTCACAAAGAGCATATGATAAAAAAGATCTTGAGGACTCGTATCGACATAGGTTAAGTCACTCGAGTGGGTTTGCCAGTCAGGATTATGCAAAGAGCTTCTCAAGCCTCCTCATGGCGCTCCTCTAGCATGACGCCCATTTAAGGATCCCTAAATACTTGGTCGGATCCCCCAATAAACGGGCATATCGAAAGGAGTTATTAGGCAAACCGTTTTGTTAGGAAATATGAATAATTTGTAAAAGCTACAGAAATAAAACCTTTAAAAACTGTAAGTGAAGTTAATTAGAATTAATTGTCTGCATTAAATAAAGTTTATTCAATCATATTAATTGTCCCTGTTAAAGGAAATTCTCAATCAATGAAGCCAACCTCACTGGTTCATGAGAAAATTGATATTTTTTACAAGACATAATTAATTATTTATAATTTATATCCCAATAAATAATAGACATTACACAGATGTTTAGTAATTGCCTTTATTAGTAGTGTTATTAATATTGGCTAACTTTTTATAATTGAAATAAAGTGAATTGTATTTGGATTTGTTTTACCAAGTTTTTTGCCATTTTTTGTTGTTGAAAATGAA